TAAGTTACAATGAATAATAATAGTTTCATGCAAATGTGATTATAACTGGCAGCATTGTTCAGAATTGTCACCAAATCATTTCAACTCAGAATTCAATGAGATCATTCGAAGGGAATACATAATAATATGTTTAAAACAATCAATTTCAATAAAAGTATACAATATTTGTTTCGGTTATTCAAAAATCAATAGTAATAGAAATTAAAAGATCGATTATATTTAAAACAATGGTTTATTGAAAGCTTTGAAAATCTGCTGGCGTTGAAGATTTATACGAATAACGCTTAAAAATTATAATAGCAAATATTTTGAATGTTAACAGTTTCAAAATAGTTTCGAACTTCAAATAATTTTAATAGCAATGCTTTATCGTTCATTGGTGATAATTATAGCATTATTGTGAAATCATTCTTCGAATGATTTTATTCTATTCGGAACTGAAGATATTTGGTGACAATTCTGAACAATGCTGCCAGTTATAATCACATTTGCATGAAGCTATTATTATCCGGCTTAACTAACAAAAAATTTTAGAGTGGAGTGAAAATTATTATGCGAAAAGACTGGAGCTTTGTGATTACATTTGGTCATAGATCATACGGCTTCCCGGAATGCATAAAAACGGTCCTCTCAGTTAATACGACAAATATCACTTCATTACATTGGTTTTCTGCTAGAAATATTTTTCGAAAAGAATTCACCATTTATACATCCCGTCATTTCTCCATCATGTATCTATCATACTATATCATATTGCTTATTTTGCCGTTCCACGTCTCGCAAATAACGGTATGTGAATAAGATATTGCCTTTCAGTATAGAAATTTAATATTCGCAAGATTTTTTATCTTAGCTAAGGACAAAAACATCTGCTTCCTGCGAAGAAAATTAAACTTTTTCTAATCTATTTCTCTGTTCTTAATACTCGGTGTTTTGCAGTCATATCCTATAGCAAATACCAAAAGCGAAATACAAAAAGTGTGTGCATTTTTATTGCATCGATCTGTTAATCCTTCTGTCTCAAATCAACAATCACAATATAACACAACTGATACTTTTTCCATATTATTAAAATTCACTAAGCTAATTTTAAAATATAGAAGTGATTTATTGCCATTCAAAGATTCTACAATGATATCTGCACAGTGTCTTTGATTATTGCTGTTCAAAATTCACAGGAAAATAATAATCATATATGTTAACATATTATTATGGGTTATTTCAGTTATCAAATGAAGGCGATGAGGCAATACAAGCAGTAATAAGAAATGACGACGAAATAAGGACTGTGGCTGATGACGGGAAAGCAAATGAAAAATTGTACAAATGTAAAGTATGCGATAAGCAATTCGGATGCTCAGGTACTCTGAAACACCATAAGATGATACATACCGATGAAATATATTGCATATGTAAAGTATGCAATAAAGTGTTCCAAAGGTCCGACAATCTGAAGGGCCATCAATTGACGCATGGAAACGAACGACCATTCAGATATCATGTGTGCAATGAAATATTCAAAGAGTCCGCCAATCTTCAGAGACATAAACTGACGCACGAAAACGTACGACCATTCAAATGTAAAAGTTGTGATAAGACTTTTACTCGAAAGAATGATTTGAATAGACACATGAAAGTGCATAAAAGTTCGGATGAAAAGCTATATTCTACTTCAGTGATATCGATATCAGATATCATTGAAACAGAAACATCAATAAGGGAAATAATTACATTCGCAGGAATATAAATTATTGTATTGTATTGGCTTAAATTATATTTGTACTGTTTTTTTGCCATTTGTTCTTTGTGCGCTATTCCCTGATTGAATATAAAAAGTGATCGATGAAATTGTACATAAAATTTTGATGTAAAATTTTGAAAATTTGAACATTGGCTGTTAGCATTAAGAAAGCAACATTATTTTTCCGTTTCAATAAAATTAAAATTCGAAAAATATATAAACAAATTATACAGCACTGATAAACGTATTAAACAACGTATTAGATTGTGATCGGAAGTGAACGAAATCATTGAATGATTGTTTGGTATTTTTTGATATTAATTCTTATAATATTTAAAAACTTCTCGTTCGAACAAAAAATGAAGAAAATGAAATTACGCCATTTCAATGTCGATAAGTGAATTATAAACGATTATTGTAGATATTCAGTATTTTCAAGAATAATTCAAATTACTGAATAAGTTCTAAATATAAAAGATTATTGTTGAGTAAAAAAGCACGCATTAGACAACCTTAAATTTTCCAAAATTTATTTATCAATTTACACTATGATATAATATGATATTTCGTCAACATCCATTAATAGAATAGTATATCATTTGATAATATTATCGGAGATATTATCACCAATTAATTTCATATTCGTAATAACAACTGTATATTAATTTCTAACGATAAGGAATTATGATAAGAAAATGGTAGTGAATAAATACTATGTGTATCGGTAAAGCTTTTGTGTATTAAATCTCGGTTTTTCTTGATTTTAAAAGGTAATCCCTCTCAATATTTCATTAGTAAATAAGAAGGAATTTGTAATATTAGTAATCGATTGAAAATGATAAATTAGCAACTTTAAAATATCATTAAACTTATCCATGATTCATATAAATATAAAACTGTTAGTATTAAGACCGGAAACTATTTTGTCTTCTCTTTCATTATTATGTTATGGCGAAATGCGTCAGATACTCACAGCGTGTTGAAGACAACGCAAACAATCCATATGGGGAGACTACGATCTTGAAATTAAATATTTACGTTCCATTTATTAAAGGGTCCATGTGTATATGTAAAAATAACAGAATTTGAGATATATGTCAAAAATTAACAGAGAATTCCGAAGCAATCTGCTAATTTCTTTGATCGTGCACAATTAGCAGCAGATTGTTTCGAACTGGAATTTAAAAATTCTAATATTTTTTACTAAAAAATATTAGAATTTTTAAATTTCAGTTTTAGCCTTGAAATCATTTCATCTATAAGATGCATGAGAAAACTCAATATTTCACTTTCCAACTGCGCTTTTATGACGTTTGAAAATGCTTCATTTCGAAGTATTTTCTCAATGATACTTTTTTCCTTTCGTAAGATTATTTTTAAAGCTTATCAATTTTCAAAAACAATTTTCCAAAATGTTGCACTTTGCTCATCCATAATTATATGCCATAATTATTCGTGTATCACACTTAATTAGCGAGATTTCCGCAATATAAGATCACGGAACATGTTTCTCACTTCCACACATCATATTTTGCTTACTATAACATAATGGTTAGTTTATTTCCACAGTGTCCTAAAAATAAGACGCGGAATTATTTTTCATTCATTTTCAAATTGATATCTGAAGTTGTGTGCAACCATAACAAATGAAAGACAGGGCTTAGACTTAATCTTAATCTTTTGCTGCAAATTGTGGAAAAAGCATTTTTCTTCAGTATTTAATTTCAAAATGATTGAAATCAGATTTTTTTGCTCTAAAATCTCTCAATTTAAACTTTAAAAATGAGTGATATTCGTTGATGCAAAATTTCCTTCTATGCCATAACATATGTTGAAATGTTAGGTGAAAATTACGGTCTCGATACTTCTCTTGGAACAAATAATAAATAAATTACGGTAAACAAAATTTAAAAGTAAACTCTGAAAAGACAAATAAACTTAATAAGTCAGACTTAATAAGTTAGAAACGCAAACAAAACCTAAAATGAAAACATTCATAAAAGACAAAAAAAAAACAATAATTAGAAGAATCTAAAACAAATAAACCTTTGAAAAAAAAGATATTCATAGGAACTGCTAACAATATTTTGTTACAAATTCGAGTGAAAACGATTTTCTACAAATTATTCGAACAGTACGATTTTTTCCATTGCAACATAACAATCAACATGTTACAGTTGCATATAAAGTAATTCACAATAATTGATATTAATTAATTGCTTTTGCTGAATACATTAACTTAAAACGATATTGTCGAAATCTGTAAACTTTCTCACTCGTTGATAAATAAATTTTGGAAAATTTAAACCTATCTAATGTTTGCATTTCCCTCAACAATAGTTTTTATATTTAGAACTATTTCAGTAATCGAATTATTCTTAAAAATGTCGAGCAACCACAATTTTCATCTATAATTCATTTCACCGATAATGAAATGGTATAAATTACTTTTCATTAATTCTTTGTTCGAATCTTAAGTTTTCAAATTATATAAGAATTAATATCAAAAAATACCAAACAACCATTCAATGATTTCGTTCACTTCCGATCACAATCTAATACATTGTTTAATATGTTTATCAGGACTGTACAGTTTGTTATATTTTTCGAATTTTAATTTCAGTGAAATGGAAAAATAATGTTGCTTTCTTGATGCTAACAGTCAATGTTCAAATTTTCAAAATTTTATGTACATTTCATCAATCACTTTTTACATTCAATCAAGATATAACAGACGAAGAACCAATGGCAAAAAACAGTACAAATGTAACTTAAGTCAATACAATACAATAATTTATGGTCTTGCGAATGTAATTATTTTCTTATAAATATTTCTGTGTCAATGATATCATCTGCTATCGATATCATTAAGGAGCTTGCTATGGAATATCGCTTTTCATCCGAACTTTTATGCAATTTCATGTGTCTATTCAAACAACTTTTCCTAGTGAATTTCCCACCACATACTTCACATTTGAATGGCCGCATGTTTCCATGAATCAATATGTGCTTCTTCAGATTCCGGGACACCTTGAATGTTTTATTGCACATGTGACATTTAAATGGTCGGTTGTTTCCATGCGTCAAATTGTGTTTCTTCAAATTCTCGGATATTCTGAATGTTTTATTGCACACGTAACATTTGAATGGTCGTTCGTTTCCGTGGATCACTTGGTGGATCTTCAGTCCACCGGACCTCTTGAATGTTTCATTGCAAAAGTAACATTTGAATGGTCGTTCGTTCGCGTGCATCACTTGATGTTTTTTCAAATCGTCGGATCGTTTGAATGTTTTATTGCACATGGGACATTTGAATGGTCGTTCGTTTCCGTGCATCACTTGGTGTATCTTCAGTTCGCTGGACCGTTTGAATGTTTTATTGCACACATTACATTTAAATAATCGTTCGTTTCCGTGAGTCATTTGGTGCATCTTCAGTTCGCTGGACCGTTTGAATGTTTTATTGCACACGTAACATTTGAATGGTCGTTCGTTTCCGTGAGTCATTTGGTGCATCTTCAGTTCGCTGGACCGTTTCAATGTTTTATTGCACACGTTACATTTAAATAATCGTTCGTTTCCGTGCGTCACTTGATGCATCTTCAGTCCGCCGGACCGTTTGAATGTTTTATTGCACACGTAACATTTGAATGGTCGTTCGTTTCCGTGCGTCAATTGGTGTATCTTCAGTTCACCGGACCGTTTTAATATTTTATTGCACACGTAACATTTGAATGGTTGTTCGTTTCCATGTATCAATTGGTGGCTCTTCAAATCGTTGGACCGTCTGAACGCTTTATTGCATACCGTACATATGTAATTTTTTTCATCGGTATGTATCATCTTATGGCGTTTCAGAGTGCCTGAATATCCGAATTGCTGATCGCATACTTCACATTTGTACCGTTTTTCGTTTGCTTTCCCGTCATCAGATACAGTTCTTATTTCGTCTTCTTGCATTTCCTCATCTGCTTGTATTGCCTCATCGCCTTCATTTGATACCTGAAATAACCCAATATGATTTGCTTATATACTTGATTATTATTTTTCTGTGAATTTTGAGCAGCAATAATTGAGGCATTGTGCCAATTCACTTCTATGTTCTAAAAATAGCTCAGTGAATTACAATAATAATTTGGAAAAAGTATTAGTTGTGCTATATTGTAACTATCAATTTGAGACAAAAGGATTAATAAATTGGTGCAATAAAAATGATTTGGCGATTTAATGCACAAACTTTTTGTGTTTCGCTTTTGGTTGCGCAGGAAATGATCGCAAAACATCGTTTAGACGTAACAGAGAAATAGATATGAATACTTTTAATTTTTCTTCATACGACGCAGCTATTTTTGTCTTTAGCGTAGATTAAAATTTTGTAAATATTTAATTTCTATACTGAAAGCAATATCTTATTTACATACCGTTATTTGCGCGACGTATAATGGCAAAACGAGCACTACTGAATAGTATGAAAGATACATAATCGAGAAGTGATGAGATGTGGAAATAGTCGAATTCTTTTTGGAAAATTTTTTTAGCAGACAACCAATGTAATGAAGTGATATTTGTCGTATAAACTGAGGGAGCCGTTTTTATGCATTCCGGGAAGCCGTATGATCTATGACCAAATGTAATCACAAAGCTCCAGTCTTTTCGCATAATAATTTTCACTCCACTCTAAAATTTTTTGTTAGTTACACTGAATAATAATAGTTTCATGCAAATGCGATTATAACTGGCAGCATTGTTCAGAATTGTCACCAAATCTCTTCAATTCCGAGTAGAATGAAATCATTCGAAGAATGATTTCACAATAATGCAATGTATAATTATCACCAAAAAAACGATAAAGCATTGCTATTAAAATAATTTGGAGTTCGAAACTATTTTGAAACTGTTAACATTCAAAATATTTGCTATTAGGATTTTTAAGCATTATTCGTATAAATCATCAACGCCAACAAATTTCCAAGGCTTTCAGTAAGCCATTGTTTTAAATGTAATCGATCTTTTAATTTCTGTTATCATTGATTTTTGAATAACCGAAACAAATATTGTATGCTTTTATTGAAAGTAATTGTTTTAAATATATTATTGTGTATTCTCTTCGAATGATTTCATTCTATTCCGAGTTGAAAGGATTTGATGACAATTCTGAACAATGCTGCCAGTTATAATCACATTTGCATGAAACTATTATTATTCAGTTTAACCAACAAAAAATTTTAGAGGAGTGAAAAATATTATGCGAAAGGCTGGGGTTTTGTGATTACATTTGGTTATAAATCATACACGGCTTACCGGAATGCATAAAAAACGGCACTCTCAGTTAATATGGCAAATATCACTTCATTAGATTGGTTGTCTGCTGAAAATATTTTCCAAAAAGAATATGACTGTTTGAAATGATGGAATGTGAAATTCTTCAATGACTCCTCAAAAAATGTTTGTTAAAATGTATGAATGAAAATTTTTAGCAGGTAACGAAGTTAACGAAATAACACCTATTGCATCAACAGAGAGGATCGTTTTTGTGCATTCCGGTAAACCTAAAATCTATGAGCAAGCATAGTCACAAGTCTCTAATCTTTTTGCACAGTAATTTTGACTTCACTACATTCTGAAATTTTTTGTTATAGTTTCAAGCACATGTAAATGCGATTATAACCGGCAGCATAGTAACCGAACCTTTTCAACTCGGAATAGAATGAAATCATTTAAGGAGTATGTTACAATAATCCAATAGGTAATGATCAACCAAGGAACAACTCTTATAAAAAAAGAATTTAAAGTTTGAAATCATTAAAATTGGAATTATTAAACTTTTTAAGCATTCATTGCACGAACCGTTAGCATCAGCAAACAAATTTTCAGGTCGTTCGATATTCCATCGCTTTAAATTTATATTATGATGATAATGTTAAATGACTATTTGAACAGATGCTATCATTAATTAAATTGTTGCCAACATCCATTCACAAACAATTTCTCCATCAATTTATATTACTTTTTCTGAATCATGCACCATTAAAAATATCACTTACATCATAAACAAATCATAAATTAAACTGCTTAAGTTCTTGAAACAAAAATAATCTGAACACCTGCAAACAAATAAATCTTTATTATCATCAGATAAATAAAAATTTTTAAATTGCGTTTCTCACATTATAAGCAATTCTCACCATTGTTACTGAGAAAAACTCAATGCAATCCTCTATGTAACATTTGCTACTAAATGAATTGAAAATTTATTCGGAGAGAGGAGTTTATAGATACAGCTTATCACAGTGAAAGGAATAGAAATTAAATAACTAACAAAAGCGAATGTTTTCAAATGCAAAGCAGATATGGAAGTCAATATTCTATGAACAAATTTTCCATGAAATCAGGAAAACTATGCTCAATTACTCGTTCAATGAAAACTTTCGTATTTGATTTCAATTTTCACAAAAACGCAAGAATAATAATTCCATTTTCAAATAATCATAATTTTCTCACTGCACTACTTAAATGACTAGACGATAGCATAAAATTGTAATAAAAAAAACGACAGATTAAGATTAAAAAAAGAACTTTTTAAGCCATCGAAACCCCTGATTATCATATGAAGAGATAAAACTTATTATCACTTTCTCTTTAGAGAAACACTGCGTGCAATGAATTCCAGAAATCGTCACCTTACGATGCTTCCAATGCTACTCTCTCACGTCTCTCTTCTAAAATTAGTTTTGATTGCAGCGAAAGCACATAATAATAAGCAATATTAATGACACAGAAGAGAATAACTAACTCAGCCAACGCTATAGCAACACCCACAACGATAACTAAGTCCTCATTTGTAGCTCCTGTATCACTTCACATGACCTAAATTTTTTTTAGTTTCTTTTTACACCCACTACAAGAGCTAACATTTAAGAGAACAGCAACCACCGAAAACCAATTAAGCTCCTCTTAACTGAATAAATAATTTAGGTCTATGGACTAAACAATTTATAAGGAATCCAAGACTTAAAGTGAAATAAAATCAAAACTTCATTTCATCGCTTTCCTAGTCAACTAAACGTACCAGCTGGTAAAGTATGATCAAAAACTTTTAAACAATTATATGTACATGTAAGAACATATTCTACCATGATGTGCTCCAATAATTGCATTTGCTACTAATTAATATTAGTTCCAATATTGTCTACATCGTTAAAAGTTTTCCTTGCTTTACTCAACCAATCACCACAAAATGATTTTTTAGTACACTGTTAAAAGTCTTCAAGTAGCGGTGTCATAATCAGTTAATAAAGAGACTTACTTATTTTCAAAGGTGTCTTCACAGGCAACGGCACCGATGGGACTTCCGGCAAATTAAGCTCGCCTTCCTCTCCTATTAATTGTGCAAATTCCTTTTCTACTTCTTCCAAATCATCTTCACCAAGTTTACCACAGAGCATGGTCGATATTTCCTGCAAAAACATTGCTAAACAATTAAACATACATTTTAAACACATATTTGCAACTTAGTATTTAAACATGAAGTAAAAACGGAACAATGAAAGTTTTCTACCATAAAAGGAATCGACTTACTTCCTGAAACTCAGCTGCCTCCTTTGTCTCATCCATAATTCGCTCGATATCATCAACTGAAATCATCTGAAAAAAAAAGCATTTTATCACCAGTGAACCACAAACAAAGGAGATTATTGAAGTTAAAAATTTTCTAGTACACCGTTGAAAGTCTTCAAATAGCGATGAAATGGAATAAGAATTAATTTAAGTAAAATAAAACCACCGCATCAAACTGTTCAATAATGGGTGTAAATTATTTAACTTCTAAGAACTTCAAACTCCAATATTTGAACTTCTGGATATATTCCATTAAACAAATATAAATTCAAATACTTGAAAGTTCGAGAATTTTTGCCAAATCTATTCAGTTTTTATAAATGTGAAAATACATATATGAGAGTTCTCGATAATCTCAATATAATTCAATATCAAAATAGCTATCCACAAATTCAAAGAATGTTTGAATTATTTAATTACCTGATTCATTCGTTTCAAAACTTCATTACCATTCTTCAATTGTTCCACCACTTTCTGCTCGATGACGGCAAATTCCAAGTCATTCACCTTTAATAGTTCCTCCATTTTTAGGTACCGTTGAAAAATTAATGTATATTCATCTGCCTCTACATACTAACAAGACTGCAAAGTCCTAGCAAATATCAAAACATTTGAAAAACAAATACCATTCTTTCAATCTTATCCAGCTGATGCAACATTTTTTCACTCACTGATTCTTGATATCGCTTCCTCTTTAAAATTAATAAGGCACGACTGAAAAAGAGACCAGAAATTTCTCAAGAAGTAAATTAATTTAATAGAAATAGCAGCAACGAACGGGCTGGTTTTCAGGATGATGCTATGCCTGAGTTCATAATAATGATAAAACATGTATTTCTGAGCGAGCATAGAAAATTGCGGTCAGTTCCCTCAGCAAAAATAAATTTAATATAACTATTCTATAAGTACGACTGCCCGGCTTACTGTGCAAATTAAGAACGTGATACCGGAAGTTAAACAAACAAATAAAAAATTTCATTGCGTAGGGAAGGAATAATTGGAGTGTAGTTTTAAATTACGGAAGAATAACAAAGAATAGATGAAAAGTTTACTCCTTTTTGTTGGCTTTTATCAACTGCCTCGCCAGCTCTTTCTCGCGTTCCATTTGTTTTTCACTTTTCTTTATATATTGTTTCATCTTGTCTCTTTGACCTTTTAACTGCTACAAATTATATTTTTGCTTTTAGGAAGAAATAATAATAATAGCGAGTTTTCTCACCTATTTTACTCGTTTACTCTAGATATTTTGTTTTGATGAATAGTCAGAAAATGGAACGGTTTCCCCCGAACTGTTATTGCTTCGAAAATTGATAATAGGACTCAAAAAATGGAATACAATACCCGACCTGATCATACATGCTTATGTATGAAAATATGCAGATTCAGACATGAAAAAGATATTTATATCTGAATCTGCATGTTTTCACACATAAACATGAGTGAGTATCTAATCCTCATTTCTAGACCAACAAAAACATTAAAGTTGTTAACCAAAATGGCTTGATCCTGCTTAGATACCGGTGTGAGAACTTCCTGTTGCTTCCTGAATAAATTACCCATTGTAAGTTCAGATTAATCTCGATGATTTACTTTACCAAATTTCACATATATAACCTGAAATAAGAGATATACATAACTGGATATAAGCAATCTAAAATAAAACCGTCAGAAAAGAACGAAAAGATGGACAAACAACTCAATCTCATTAACTGTTCGATCTCACTATAATAAATCAGTCAGGTTTAGTATTTCGTAGTAATATAACGTTCTTTAAACAAGTATGATATTGCAATATTGCTTAGATACCAATATACAAATCTCTTTAAGTTGCAAACCTATCTATCCATCTTGCAGATCAGATTTCATCATCATGATTACGCTTCAAATTGATATGGTAAATGTGAACATATCTCAACATTAGAATCAATCTCATTCACTGTAAGCTTATTATAAATCAGATTACGTCATTTATCTTTCAGCGCCAAAAAACAAAACCTCACCATTTTATTGTCACTGCCTCGACTCACCAAAACGAAACGTTTGTGCCAATGCCGTGGTCAAATTACGCTATCAAACCTTAGTCATTGCCCTAATAATTTCAAACAACCATTTCAAGAATTAAGCAATGTAATGACACTGTACACCGAAGTATAGCGCTATAAAGTTCGAGCAATGGCTTTATGGAGATTCGCGCCTTCAAACGACCGATGTGTATCATACTATAGAGATTTGCAGAAAAGGTATGAGGCGTCGGTTTTAGTTGAAAATGAATTCATACAGCAACGGGAATTCCAATGTCATAAAATTAAAAAATAAAAGAACAATTAACAAAAACAATAATCAGCTGAGCAGAAGAAATCAATAAATGCAGGCAATGATAATAATATTGTTGAAATGAATAATAATATGCCTCTTTGGCAATGTCTCTGTTTGAGTGTTTCTGCTAACCGTTATTTGTTTAATTATTATGAATAATCTACACCTGCTGCCCCCACGAAAACAATAAAATTTCTGTTTTTTTATAAAATGTATTTCTTCGAAGCAAATATCGATTGGAATATAATCAAACACAAAAAAATGATCGAAAGAGAATTTTCTAAATGATTAGGGTGAGATATATAACAAATATAACAAAAAATGGCTAATCAGTGGGTGATTGTAACAACGAAAAATTAATTTTTTTCTCTTCATCTCCATTTTCGTTTTTTCTCCTCCTGTTTTCTCATATCTCGTCGTCACTAGCCGATATTCTCCAACCACTGTCACCTTTCGTATTTCTGAAACATTTTTTAGCTAATTCGGTGGTTCATTTTATATTTTAGAATTTATATATAATGTAAGTTTATCCGCTCTATTTTCACAATTCTCATCAATACCAATGACTAATCAGTAAGTGGTTGTAACGACGAAAAATTATTTTTCCGCCTGGCAGATACTGCACCATCCCATCAAATTCTGTCCTCCAGGTTTGGCGGTACACTGAAAAGTGGTCCGCAATTACGGATAAGAGTATATGGTAAAAAAGTCATCTTCAAATTATGACGGCAACTACGACTCCAATAATTCAGTTCGAATTTTATTTTGCTTAAACTTTTCGCGACACTTCGCAGTAATGAGAATTAGATCTACATCATCAAGGAACGGAACAACTGATACTTAGAGAAATGAGGCGTTATGGACCCTTCGTGTTCTGATCTTCCAGATGTTACGATTTGATTTTCATAAAAATCCAGTTCGGCTGATGATTTTGAGCTTTCCACTGAGATGCTTGAATCAGCTAAAATTGAAACTTTTTTTAATTGTCAAAAATTGCAAAATTAATTTTACACTCTGTTCTTTTTGCTAATGAAGAACTTCTCAGAATTTTTAACACAATTAGAGCTGCCGATTGTCTTCATGTGACGTATCTGCTGTACAATTAAATATCAAATATTTCGTTTCCGATTTTTCTTGAAATTGTCAATTGCAAAATCATCCAATATTAAAAGATCATCAATGATTTGCACTATCTAATTCTAATTGACCAAATATCAATGTTATTTATCGGTTAACTTGCACTTTTAATCGCTATTAGTACTTCTACATTATCTATGTTAGCCTTTGCATTACAGTTAGCCTTATCACATGTACTTGAAAGTGTGTGACAAATTCTTGTAATTTTCAGCGTGCCACTGATATCAATACATGGCGATGATGCCGTTAATTCAGCGCTTTTCATTGATTCATTATGCTGTTCAGTATCATCTGCCTGCAATGAAAAAATATTGAGAAAATAGTTTTATTAAAATAATTTCAAGATGAAAACATGAAGTAAATTCAACAATTTACTTGAACTTGAGAGAACTCGTCCGTACATGTTGAGAATGTCCTTAAAGTTTTAGTTGGTGAAGAGCAAACAGTACTATCACGAGAAACCGAAGGGTTAAATTTAGTGGCATTGGCATGCATCAATGATTTCAATTCGGTTGCACTTTTCATGAAAATCGAATGAACTGATGTTGTAACCCTAAATAAATTAAGTTTGAAATAAGACTGTTTAACAAACCAACATAACACTGTACTAGCATATAGTTACGTATGAGTTGAATACGTTCGGTGCAGTGAACCTCTATGAGTCAGAAGTATTGTTGATAAGTGGAATCAAATCATCACCGTTAGTTCGGAAAATTTGTGTTAACTGAACAATACGAAATATTTTTTCCCAGGATGTCTTATTTTTCTTCAACATATTTAAAAATCTTCGCTAAAATATTTCACCAAATAATTAGAAGTGACACGTCTAATCAACTTTATTATCAGTTCAGCTGTAAATAAAATCATTTTGGACGGTTCCTAAGAGCTTCAAAAAAACACATACATGTGCTTTTCGCAATCGAATCTACCAATTACCAATGGTTCGATTTCTTTCGGAAAATGGAATAGACCTTCATCAGCTATAAAACCTTGTGGTTCATAATTCATTGGAGTCTCTGGAAGAAGTATGAATTTCACTAGTTGCAGGGATTCACAAGTTGTTTCATATCTTTGATAATTGAGAGCAAGTTGCTTTTTTGTAAATCTATATCCGGTATGGGTGTGCAATATGTTGCTAGATAACGATAGCCCAAGCTGTTATGCTTTAGTCAGTACAAAGCGTGCTTGGCTATTACAGTAATAGAAATACTTGATATTTTCTTGACCGGTCTAGCCCGCTATTAAACCTCAATTACAGTAAAGAATTTAAATATGATTTCATGGAAGATTTATACCAAGCGAATGTATGGCAGTGAGTAAAAAAACTTATTCAAAAATATTACTTTCATCATAATAGGTAAGTTTAAAGATTGTGCAAATGTTCTGTGGTAATGGACCCATAATATTTCCATATGCACTGACACGACGAATCAAATGAAAAAACTGTTTGCGTGCTTGAACAATTCCTGTATATTTAATAGTAGCGACCTTCTCGCCTTTTGTGCTACAAAAAAAAGATAAAAATCTTCTCCATTTTTAGAAGCTTTTCAAAACAACATGAAAACGAGTGGTAAATGAAATAATAAGTGTTAGGTAGTATATTTTTTCCTAATCTATAAGTAGCTTAATACAAAATCTATTTTGGTGTGTAAGGTAGCACTTCCCTTGTAAGGATCATTTCTGGTTGATTTGATTCATAAAAAAATGACATCCGGTGAACTTCCAAGGCTTCATATTCATCTTTTCTATCACGATCAGCAACCATTATGATGAAATCACGCAACTAAAAACTTGAATAAGAATCCCGACTTCACTTTAAAAACTAGATTTAGTTTCAATCAATGAATCTGCATGCTTTGCTGCTCTTCTACTTAAAATTTGACTCTTTCGGAATCCACTTTCAATATCAACTGTCTATTTCGCCGCGAGAAGAGAATGGGAAAGGCAGGGGTTAATGCTAGACTGTGTCCTGAAGAAAAAATGTTAAACTAAAAGCTGCATTTTTAATTTTTAAATAAGATTTCAGATGGTGTGCTCTAGCTTTTGAATAAACTGTAATATTACATCTGAAGAATGAATTTCTAGTTAGCTAAAAGTTCCTTGATTAATAAAACAAAAGCAACGAGATTCATATTTCGCCCAGTGTAATAACATAACACATATCATCCAAAAATGTAAATTCTGCCGGACAAAAAATCCACAAGTCCAGCAGAAAGAATTGTATAACTTAATGGAACTTTTGAAATTAATTAATAAAGGAAACTAAAATTTACATATGCAAATTCAATTGCTTCCATAACACCCTTAAGGCTGTGAACAATATCTTTGCCCTCCGCTTCCGCTCGAACGACATAAAATTTCCATTCTAAAAATTTCAACCAACACTCCACATTGGATGGATAATAAACATAACATAGAGATCATAAAATATGTTATATCACGAATACGGACAATTTGTCCTACTCCACTGAATCCCATCTAACAATTTTCGCTTATTAAAAAAATAAACTATGCATTTTCTCCTCTTATTTGGAAGAAAGGATTCTTTTCGATATGATCAATAAACGATACTAATTTTAGATCATCACCGTCATGATCATCACTTCGTTGTCGCTATGACAAAATCGTATTTTTATTACTGTCTACATTTTTTTCGCCATTTAAATTCTCATCATTATATCAACACTGTTTATGAAACTCTTACTGTTTTACAGAAAGGAATGTTGTGAATCTATATCAAAATAAGATGAAAAAATGCATACTTTCAATCTGGCGTTTCTTGAAGCATTTCGCAGGAAGTAAGTCTCTGGTGTAAAGTATATGCGATGCAGTAATGAATACAACACGCTGTAGAAATGACCGTGATTTCTCGCCAATTGGTTCATCCGGAAATGTTGCTTCCCACTAAAATGAATTATTTATGTAGTTTACCGAAGAGAAACAGCAATTATATTGCATAGAGTGAGCTCATTTCAGGTCATGATCACACTATATACGTAATCCAAGAAAGCTTGCTTCTACGCTCATTCTTGGTAATCATAGTGTGTAAAAAATATTGTCTTACATTTAGGCCTTTTCCCGATCGTTTTTTCTGTACCAGCTCCATCCAGTTCAACCTAGAAATCCTGAAATACAAATCCTAAAAAAATATGCCGAAATATAAATTCAGAAATATTGCACAAGGAAATACAATATATTAAAACACAAATTCTGAAATCAATTCATAAAAACTCAATTCATGAAACGTAAACAATTTTTTTTTATAGCACTATCTGAATGATTTTTCTCTTTTTACTTTCCTATAATTTAATACCACTGTTTTAACCATTTCATCTTAAATTTGCTAATTAATGGAAATCAGTGGCCTAAAATTAATTACTAATCTGCATCTAAATTCATGATCTGCTCACCTCAAAATGAATTACAACAATTTGAAATCAGATGCGTCGCCAATTAAAATGGAATATTACTCGTGAAATAAAACATATTAAGCATATTTTAAAATTAACAATGTATGATTAGCTAGTCATTTAATTTCGATCGAACTAACTTAAACCAAATTTAAGCAATTAATTCGAAACTAAATTTATACTTCAACAGTTCACTCAACTTTCAGCTCGTATTTAATACCCACCACTTCCTACATTAGCCCTTTTATTCGATACGACGTGGCTCCCTACGTGCACATCCATTCCAAATCGAACTTGTTACCATTGTTATCGATCTTATATTTTGCACGTAGTCTCCCATTATAAATGAGATATTGCACGTTTTGCATGTTGAGGGCATTAAGAAACGAAAGAAATGAAATCATTCATACAGATGTAGTTTACGGGAACTCTTCATGTAAGTTATCAGATTCACGTTATTCTCACGGAACTAATGTCCTTTATCGTATTTTAAATTCAAATTTAAAAATTCTTGATGTGAGGGAATTCTCCATGTAAGTTATCAGATTCATGTTTTCTCACAGAACTAATGTCCTTTATCGTATTTTAAATTCAAATTTTAAAATTCTAGACATGAGGAAGTGCTTACTTTGGTAAAATTACTTTTTCATTTGTATGCAAAACTGTTCTGTAGCACTCAATTCATTCTTACTTATTTACTGTTTATTAATTTAATGTTGATTTAATTTATCTTTTTCCTTTTTAATCGATTACTTATTTATTACTGTGTTTAAATTATAAATTCCTATCCTTATTTGGTAACTTGCAGTCTTAAAATTTTTAATCATTTTAGAATATCTCATGCGGTAAGTAAATTCATCAAAAAATATGGATCGGTTTATATCATTCAAGTCATTAGAGAAATATCATTTCACTGATTATTATAATACGCCCTGTTATAATAAATATACTATCGTATACTGCACTTTACAGTATACTAGACATACGATACATTGATGTCAGTATAAGTAATAAAATTTATTTTTCAAATATACATATATATCTTCTAGCAAAAATATGAAATTAACAATCAACAAGTAAGATGTCGTTTTTATCCATCAAGGATGTATTATTTTTCTTCCGGTACAGAAGATATTCTGTATCCGAAATTTTCACTCACATCATCTTCAAGATTATTCCAAAGCTTATTGATAAGTTGACGCGTAATATAATATCCATTAATTCGATCCAACAAATAACCCATGCGATATGCCTAAAAATTTACCAAAAATTTCCCATTATTTGGTGTAAATTTGAAAAGAGAAATATTATTAATTAATAAAATTCGTTGAAAGAAACTTAATTATACGTAAATAATGATATCATATACGTGTCAAATGTATTCATAAATATTATAATACTTATAATTTCATTCAAAAATTCAAAATCAATTTCATCCTAAAGATTTATTCATATTGAAACAATCTTTTTTTTAAACAAAAGAAAAATTGTCGAACAGAGAAATAATGAGAAAGAGTATGGAAAGGAAGAGAGAGAGAGAGAAAAGGGAAGAGGAAGAAAGAGCGACAAATATGATACATTCATAAAATGTTACAGTAATTTTAGGTTTTAATCAAATATATTGATTTAATTTTATCCTAAAATTAATAAGCATTAAAATTTTTCTTTTCTAAAGAGAAGAGGGAGAGAGAGAGAGAGAGGGAGAACGAAATATGAGGAATAAAAGGAAGAAAAATTCATTAGAATAGCCTAAAAATAACAAAAATGGCGAAAAGATTATAAAATGAATTTTCAAATTTTATATTAATTAACCTGTTCGGCAATAACTATATTTATATAAGCATATTGCCAGCGATTCATTACAGCACCTGGTCGTCGTTGTCGAATTTTTTCAATTAAAGCCTAAAAATAATTCAGGTACCATTCTAGAAATTCTATTCTTTTTAAAATCATAACATATTATTATAAAATTTAAAAAATTTTTTATGCTATAAAAATTAATTAATAATAATGCTATTTTAGGAGAAATTAGATTAAGAATTAAATCGATGTGAAGTGATTTGTATATGAATTTATGCAAATTATATACGTTAACAATGATATTATCGCGATCATCTGACACATATGTATATATTTTATTTTATAAAGTTATAAAAATTAACATATATAATTCGGATTAGCTTTTTTTTAATAATTTTAAAATATAAAATAATTTTATTTTACTTTTTTTTTAAAATAATTTAAAAGTACAAAATAATTTTATTTTATAAATTTTATTTTATATTTTATAATTTTTACCTTTGCATTTTACATATTTAATTCTTGATCTATTTTTTTTTGATCTAATTTATCCTAAAATGGTATTACAAAAGAATTTTATTTTATTACTGAAATTTTTACCCTTGTATTTACACATTTAATTCGTGATCTAATTTCTCCTAAAATAGTATTACAAAAGTATTTTATTTGATTATTGAAATTTTTACCTTTATATTTACAGTTTGTAAATTTTTAAGTTGATACATAGCAAAATCTAAGGCAATAAGAACACCTGTACGACCGCGACCTGCATGACAATGTATCAATATTGTATCATCACTAACCTAAATAATTCATAAATTTGCAACACAAAATATATTAATTATTATTCATATTAAATTTGAATTTAATATTAATTGAAACTAAGAAGAAAGATCTTAGTTATCATAATTGTGATAGAGAAAGATCTTAGTTATCATAATTGTGATAGACCGGAAAAGAAATCATTCTTAAACTTTTAAAAATTAACTTATTTATTTTGTAATATATAATAATTATTATAATCAATACTTTCATATCTCTTATTGCTATATATTTAATTTATATTTTAATTAAATTAAAATTTAATATTATTATTAATTAATATATCTTGTAATTGTTACATTAAATGATCTTATTGTTGTTACACATTCTTATAGTTTAATTTATATTTTAATTAAAATAATCTTATAGTTGTTACATAATTAAAGTAATAATAATAATAATCTTATAATTGTTACATAATTAAAGTAATAATAATAATAATCTTATAGTTGTTACATAATTAAAGAAAGAATGAAAATGTATTATTTACCATCAATAAAATTTGTAATAAAATATTAGCAGCTTTAGCTAAAGTATTATGTTTTCCCCATGGTAATGGTAATTGTCCATCAGGCCATCGTAAATAGCATACATGAGTTAGAAAACGATCTTTTTGCGGATTGATCGAATTACAATATCGTATACGTAGTTGTGTTAATCGATAAACATATTCCTTGGAATCATTTGTTTGAATTTTACAATCAGCCTAATATATGTCTTTTTTTTATTTTATTTTTTTCATTTTGTTTACTTGTTTATCTTATTTATTTACTTATTGATTTTATTTATTTGTTTTTATTTATTTACTTATTGATTTTATTTATTTGTTTATTTATTTTATTTATTTATTTATTTTATTTATTTATTTTGTTTGTTTATTTTATTTATTTATTTGTTTTATTTATTTATTTATTTTAATTACTTACTTATTTTACTTATTTAATTAATTCATTTTATTTATTTACTTATACATTTTATTTATTTTATTCATTCATTTATTTTATTTATTTTTATTTATTTACTTATTTATTTTATTTACTTATTTAATTAATTTGTTTTATTTATTTACTTATATATTTCATTTATTTATTTATAATTTGATAAAATGTATTGATTATACAATTATATTGATTACAGTAAGACTTAATTTTCTTAAGTTTATTAGCATTTCTTCTTTCTAACATTCATTCCAAATATATACAAGTTTTCTTCTGTTTTTTCAATTATAATTTTTAGAGTAAAACTTCTATATCATAACGATAAACGAAAAGAAATAAACTGAGTTAGAATATTCCATTTCATCAAGGTAAATAAAGAATATTGATTGAACTAAAATATTCCCATCCGGATTATTCCTTTCTAAATCCGGAATAAAAATTAGCAAGCATTAAAAATTCATTCTAATCTTGCATAATTAATTCACCATCAAAGAGCTATTAATGCAAGTTATTTTGAATGGCATGAAATAATATATTTTGCCATTAATAATGGGCCAATATTGTATTGTTTCCTGATTTTTCTGATATACATCCGGATAAAAACGTTCCTCATACGGATAATTCAATGATATTATTGCTTTTACATTTTCCTAAAACACTTTTAATTTAGGATAAATTCAATAATTTTGACTGGAAAAAAAAATCTTTTTATTCCGGAAATTTCAAATATAATATTTTGAAATTAATTAATTCCAAAAAATTAAAAGTTTTCATTCTAACCTTTTTCATTCGAAATATTTTAGACCTTTCAAATAAACCTTTTGAAATTGAATAATTTAAGATTTCAAATTTTCTTTTCTTTTTTTTTGATAGAAATAAAACAATGCAATATTTAAGCGCAAGTATGAATTGCACGTAATCTTGTAATTTGAATAAAATATATTTAATTATACTAATTAAATTGTTAAATTTACCTGCCAAACAAGCGTCCAAAAATCATAAACCGTAATTAGATTAGGCCCTTCACATGCAAGATATATCCGACCATCGTCACGTATAATACGTTGCGCATTTACCTGTTAGCATAAATCTGCTCAATTTTTGTTTTAGAATTATTTGTTAAATTTTTGAAAGCTTACTAATTTGTTTAATGGAAATTTTTTTCTTGCAAATTTTTGAAAGAAATTTTATTATTTTATTTTTGGCTTCCTCATTTTATCAATTAGGAAGAAATTGAATAATTCATTATTTTCAACTAATAATGAAACTTTTTGATAAAAGATATTTATTATCTTTGATAAGAAATAATTCTCCTTAATATGTTTGTTTATATTTGTTACTATAAAAGTTTTACATATTCAAATATTAGTTTCTACTTATTCAAATTTATAGTATATGTCATTTTTTTGAGTTTTGATTTTTCATTCATAATTATATTTTACTTAAAACGTATGTTATCACATTAATCAATATGATATTACGATATATATACATATACGTATAAATTTATTATTGTTAGTACAATATATGTATATACTAAATATCAGTAAAACGGGAAACATTTTCCATAATCTGATCATTTTCCGTTATTTGATCAGGAATGAAATATTTTCAGGTTATCCTTATCCGAGCAAAGCAAAAAATTTATCAGTCGTCCAAAAAAAAGTATTTTCTGTTATTTGTTAATTAACTTAAGTGTGATATCTCTTCGTAATTTATTATCCGATTAAAGGAATAATATCCGATATTATCATACGTTAAAAGCTTTACTATTATAAATGCTTTATATATTATTATTATTAGATTTTACTTTACTTTAATATTATACTTTACTATTGTTTTACTTTAATACCATTATTTCATCACTTTATTTACTTTACTGTTATATCCGAATACTTTAATTTATTTATATATTATTTATCTTTACTATTATACTTTATAATTTATAATACTTTACTATTATTTATTAGCTAACGAAAGAGAAAAAATTTTACATAATATATTCCTCTAAATGTATTATTCGATTAAAATATGATATTATCATACTTTTAATTTTCGTGATTTATTTGCACTAATTAGATGTTGAATAAATGTGGAAGCGCTGTGATTATCATAATGAATAGATGATAACCAATCATTTGTAATAAATTCCAATATCTCAAATTCTTTGCACAATGATTGATAAGCATCCGATATTGAAAATCGTGTTAGAAACCAATGTCCTACCTGTTATTGCAATTGTAATGATAGATAAATTATTATTGAACTATTCCAATGATATTTTTCAAACCATTAATTGAAAAGAAAAATAATCAATTAGCAATTGAATTAACCGTAATAACACAATCACCTATTAGATAAATGTAAAAGATTAAATTTTTGAGTAAATATTGTTTCATGTAATAACTGAATAATTTCATTATGAATATCACCTTCATATCTTTGTGAATAATTGAAGTTCTTGTTTTTTGGTTTTCCAATCTACTTGATTCAATTTCATTTTCAACAATATTTAATGATTGTTTGCTGAAGAATACACAGAAAGTGAAATTTGAAAAATTCGGCAAACTATTTGAAAATTTCAAAATTCAAACAAAGGTATTTGTCGCACAAAGATATTTTAAAATATCGTTATCCCGAAATATATGAGTAAACTTGAAACTTGAAACAACTGTAAACGCAACACCTTTCCAACTTCTCCATCATTATCTTTTTATTGGAGAGAAAGTATAAAATCAAATCAATCAACCGCACAGCTTGATTCACTCGTGAACAAATTAATTTAAATCAAGCTCCTCATGCTTTTTGTATTTTCATTATAGCATCTTTTTTTTATAAATTTTATGCAATCATTAACTCATTCCTGGGTCATGAGTGACAGTATGGAACCCTGAATTATGTTATTAAGTTCTAAGAGGAAATATATTTTTGAAATATTTGTAATGGGTTTCATAGTTGGAAGTATTCTTTACACTAATATTGGTGATGCCAACGCGAAGAATCAAAAAATCATCATACTAATGAATTCTACATTTTTTCTTTGTTCAAGAGTTTTGTTGAATGACGAAATTATAGAGTGAGCAGTTATAATTACGCATGAAATCTTATTGCTATCGAGAAAACAAACAGGAAAATGAATTTTTACTCGTTATTTATAGTAAGATGAACGCAATATTTAATATACAAGAAAAATTTGTTTATATCAATTAGAGCCAATTTAATAAAAACATTCAAAAAAATGGCACTATAGCGCATGCAGGGAATGCCACTATTTTAAAGTCGAAGCTTTAAAAATACCTTGCTTATTTTCTTTAGAAAAGCTAAATAGGGCAAAATCTGATTAGCCACAGAAAAGATCTACCTTATATTCGTGCAAACAAGAACAAACCAGGTCAACCAAAAAGTTATCTTATCCTTATTAAGTTTTCTGATCAAATCAAACTAACACTGCCACTTTATGAACTGATCGTATACCGCGCATGTAAAAAAATCAGCTAAATTAAACAATGGTCTGTTCTTGAAAAATGCAAGAGACTAGCATGAACAAATTTTATGCAACATAATCCAATGGTCGGTTAAAGCCACCTTTCCTGTTCATATATTGTCGATATCGTCGCGGTTTATTAATTGCAACAACGCCATCAACATTACCCGGTACCTAAAATTACTCTGCCTTAAATAACGCTTTGAAATTTCCACGTAGTTCACATTTTTTTAAGGCGATTAATAAAAACACAGGGCTTACAATGCCGCAATTCAAAACCGGTGAGTATCCAAAGAGGAATTATATCTCAGCTCAATTTTCGGCTACTATCCTAAAATCTGCGCGAATTCTTTCATTAATTAACAATTTCTAAAAATAATTCGATGAACTATAATTAAAAAAACAATGTATACTTTTTTGTTCTTAGTCGTGTCAAAACCTGCAAAGCCCATCAGCTTGAGCATGTCTTTGTCAAGTCCTTTCAAAGAATCAACACCAACTGAAAACATCAATAAAAGCAAAAAAGAAGAAAAATCCCCCCAAATAATCAAAGAAGATCATTGTTATATCAATGGAAAATGCATTATACAACTTGATAGTTGGTAACATGAAGTCTTTTTCGATTGATTGACGCTGCACATAACATATCCTACTTGATAAATACTTACCATCTTTCGTTTGTTTTTCCTTTTCTCGATCCCTAAAAGGAAGAGTAGTGTAATCCAAGAATTTCTTTGAATTTCGTTTCAGCAGAATTGAAAAGAACGAAACAAGATTTGAATTATACTTTGTAATTCTTAATAATTTAATAGAGTAAAAAAGCACTAATCTTTTTGGAGATCAAACAAAAATCCCTAGTATTTTCGAAGTATTTCGAAGTTCTTCAGTATAGCCAACTAAATGATGGAATGGAAATTTAAGCACAAAGTAGGTAAGTACTCTTTACCATACTCTATTGATAAGGACAAGATGACGAAGAATTCAGGAGCTCTATGAAAATTTGGTTAAGTAACCTTCGTGATCTCTCCTCATTGTCATGTCGTCTTCTTTCATCCAATCGCTCACGACTTTTACTTCGGCTTCTTCTACGATCTAAAGGACTTCGTGACCGACGACGTTCCTGTAAACAAAATGTTATAATTACGATTTTTATTAGGATAATTTGCAATATAACCGTTGAAAATTCTAAAATAAACATTTAAATTTTCCTTTTTCGAACAAACTTAGATGTGTTTTGTTATGGAAGTATTTTTAATACTACAAAAAAATTAGTTAAATTCCAAAACTTGTATACTTGGCTACGGCGACGTGAACGATCTTTCTCAATTGTCCGTGTCCGGCCAGTAGAACGTGAACGTGACCTACGTCGTCTCTCACGTTCCCTGTCTGCAAAAGAGTTGGTGTTTCACTGAAGGTTGTAGAAATTAAAAAGTATGAAAGTAAAATATCATGCAATTATGTTGAAGACAAAATTACAATAAAGCAATTTGATTTTCATAGGATTAAATCGGATAAAAACTATACAACGCAAATCATGTATTGGTTATTTAACAAAAATATAATGACTATTTGAAATGAGATCTATTAGCTGGATGATAAAACATAATTGATAGTTATCTTTTATATGCTTGTTTCAAAAGAGAAAAAAAATCAATTATCTCAAACTAAATGTTCAACCTGGGATACACCGATAGGTGCTATCAATAATTCCTGATAATGAATGGTGGATTTAAGGTAAACAAAAAATGCTCACCTCTACTTCGGCTTCGTTCTCGTACCATTTCTGCGAATTTCCTAATGAATTTGTTGTAACAATGTGAATTAACTTCTCAAATAGCTAACTCGAAGAAAAAACGAAAAAACAAAAACACAATTGTTGCCAATGATCAAATCATAGAAAGTGAAACTCTCGAAAAATTTCAACAAAATGGGATAAAAGCTTTGCATAAAGCGAATCTTTCTAAGATATAAACTTTCTAGAGAAGCGCTGTTAGTAAATGGTCGAGAATTATGATTAGTCATAATTGTGATTGTGGTAATAATTTATCGTGGTAAGATAACGATAAGGGTGAGTGGTAATATCATATTAGAAATAACGTTGTTAAGCTGCTCAAAAACGTGTTTGTATTTCTCATACATGCCATGTTGAGCTTAGATAGAATGTTAAAAGTAACTTTACGAAGTTACATAAGTCAAATTTGTTTAGATGTAATTATATAATACTCATTATAGCATAACTGTCTTTTCTTTTTATTAATTAACTTTTGTCTGAATTTGGATAAATTAATTATTCGTTTTTTAAAAAATCTATTGAGAGGTTTTAAAATTTTCAGAATTGGCACATGTTAATGTGGATGATGATGGTCGCTGTATCAATCGCACCCTGAAAAAAAACGTGAAGTCGTCCATGGAAAAATGGGTTGTGTAACTAAACGAAGAAATACAGGGACAAGTCGGCGTAATGTAAGTTTACATAAAAATCGTTTTCCTAGTTTTTCTTTGTTGTTTCTGTGAATAATATTAATGTCTAATACCTTAGAATCAATCAAATTGAATTACCTATGGACTGGCAGCATTTTTAGCAGAAGTTTAATTAAACAGAATTGTCGAAGCCTATTTTGTAAATAGTTTACAAGCACTTAATTTCATATGCTTAGTTTGGATGGTTATTGTTACCTACAGATGTTCTCAGTGGTGCCCAATTTATTTTGGAACGAAAATTGTATTATCAAAACTGGAAAAAATAATTCGTTTTTTTTTTTGTATTTGCGATGAGTAAAACATTAATTAAAAAATGCGAGCTAAAAAATAAAGCATTAATTAAAAAATGCGAATTAAAAAATTTAAAATGTGAACAATTTGAACTTAGTTATAATTTTATTTGTGAAAATATGAGAACTTGCTATATTTCTTGCTAAATTTACTTGCTAACATATGTGTAATATTACTGCAGTTATAAAAAGTAATTCCATTTATATTTTTGAAGTTTAAAAGTTTGATTCATCTACTGAACTACAAATTTTTTTCATACTTCAGATTTCAAATGAATGTGAAATACCTGATGAAATTGATTTTGATGCGGCGTGGAAAGTGTATATGCTCAATAAATCTGCGTGCCTTCTTCATTATGTTCCTAATCCAAAGTAAGACCAATTCATTTCTTATTTTTATTTGCTTTTGTTTACCACTTACTCTATGAATAATACGAAAAATTATTTGAAAAATACAGTAAATGATGGATCTTTTTTTCTTTGAATATTATTTGCAGAACCAAAAATTGCCGTGATAATCCATATTGTTTGGGCCGGTTGGGCCTGGAAAAATGGGACAAATTACTAGGTTGTGTCAAAAATGAAAATAAAACAAACACTGATTTGGATCGACGTGATATCGCGAAGATGCCATGTGGTTTGGTGAATCTCGGAAATTCATGTTATGTGAACAGCTTTCTGCAGGTTTTCGATTTTCTATGGTTATTTGCAAGCAGATACATTTTTCATTGAAAATTTAGGGAAGGAAGACGAAAGAGAATTTATGAATTGTCATCATTGCCTATAATTTCGTAATTTCTAGATATTTTTCAATGACCCTGTTTTCCGCAAATGCATTTATGACTGGCGCCCCGTTGCTAATTTTGTCAAACCCGAAGGAGAAAAAATAAATATTGAGGAGTTGATGCATTGTATACAAAAATTGTTTATAACCTTGCAAATTACGCCGTATGTAAGTTCTTAATTTTACTTCCCAGCCTTATCAGATTTCATCGGATGCAAAATTTGCTGTCGAATTTCAAAACTTTGCACTGATTTCATAGGAAAATCATACAAGATTCAAGTTCAAAATTTTATCAAAAATTTTTTCAATATATTAGTTATCGTGAAAAATATATCTTATCTGCCATTATTACCTTAGTTTCCTTTCATCACCATATCATCTACAATTTTTTGTTTTTTTTCAAAGTATTTTAGGAAGATACCAGCGCTGAAGGATTGGTTAAGCTGCTTCAGCTGGATGGCAATCAACATGATGCCTTAGAATTTCAAATACTTTTCTTTGGCAAACTTGAAAAATTACTCAGTTATCACGTTGAGTGGCATGGAGTACGCGAAACTATTCTCAAAAGATTTAAGGTAGAATCAATGAATTTAAATACAACGCATAAATTTTTTTAACATGTTGATAATATCCATGTTAGGTTTTCTGAAGCTTTAACTCTTAAGAAATTAAAAAATTTTGAGCTGTTTTGCAGGGCGTTATAACGCAAACGATTTCTTGCAAATGTGGACGTCGTAGTGTTACGGAATTGCCATTCAACCCATTTTATTTAAGTATTGAAAAAGCTAGGTCGTTATCAAAGGCACTGGAATATTATTTTCTTCCAGAAGAGTAAATTTTATCTTTCGTTTCAATTTGTAAAATTTAATCCCTATGAAATATTTCATTATTCAGGACAGCTTTTCTGGCAGTAGTCGCACAAATACGTAGCTAATATGAGAGTTTTAAAGTTTTAGAAAAAGCTTAATTTTGACAATTTGTCACTCATCGAAAGTTCGGTCTATTCATGTTTCGTACTTGATGCTTAGCAGTTTTTATTTGATTCCTCACTTGATGTTTTTTTATTTCAAATTATTTCATTTTGCTCTAGCCTCATCTGTTGATACTATGTTAGCATGTGATATGGAGCTGGAATTGTTAAATGGAAAACAACCAAAAAAAAATTAATTTATTATTTTAGGAAACTACTCGATTGAAATACATGGCTTTTTCAGGTTGCCTGACTACAAATGCAGCGAATGCGGACAAACTGGTTCTGCACAAAATCGTCTTGCAATTAAGGAACCTCCACCTGTACTGACGATACAACTTAATCGATTTACATATGATGCGTACGTTTAATGACTAGTCTTTTATTCCTGTATTTTTAGATAAGTTTTCAACAAATTTCAAATTTTTCAATATTCAAGTTTTTTAAAATTATAGCGTGGGACACAAAAAGAAGATTCATTCACCGCTACAATATCCAAGAATTTTACAATTGGGTGGTGTGAAGTATGACATTTGTGCTGTAATGATACATGAAGGTCCAAACGCTGATTGCGGACATTACTACGATTTAATAAGGCATCCAGGCACTAAGCAGTGGTTCACTTATAATGATGAGGTATTGTTTTGCAATGTTTTCTTGCACCATAATATGAAACGATAATCATTAGCTTACTAGTGTAAGCTAATGATTGAAGTATATGATAAAACAAGTCAAGTGAAGATACTGGGTAGAAAGAAACATTTTGTTTTAGTTGTTAAAACAATTAATTAAGAATATACAGAAATAATGAATGAAATGCATGTTTAGGTTGTAAAACCATCATCCACTCCTGGTGTATGTGTCGAAAAAGAACGAACATCAAAAGTTACTGCCGATATGAAAGGTTGCTATGCTTTGGTTTACCGTCGAGAAAATGAGGAGAATTCAGCTATTCCTGCTGTTCCGGAAGATTTGTTGGGTAATATCGCAAATAAGGTATGAACAAAAAATCTCAAGCTTGTTGCCTTTTTTGTCACTTTAACAGTTTATGTATATTTTTTTCATGACAACTCTCTAAATTTATTCATGCCGTCCGCCACATTTTAGTGAAAAATAATATAGTATGAAGGATTATTAGGATCTCTTTCATAGTTGTCTTCCAAAGCTCTGAAGGAATTTTCTTTTTGATCCATAATGACGACAGAATTGTGATCTCAGAAATCACTGTTAAAAAATATGGATTAAATTAACTAGTTCAAGTTACATTTTGGATTTACAGCTGGAAGAAGAGTTCATTGCTCAAACCAGTGCAACTACAGAGATGACCCTCAGACTCAAGAACACTGTCGAAGATTATCACAAACGTCTTACGGATACATTCGATAAGTTGGAGGTCTTGTGAATTTATTCAAAAGTCAGATTCAAAATACAATCCCTCTTCCTCTCATGCTTTTTGAATTTAGTTTCAGAATCTTTTTCCAAGGGCGAAATTCTATTTTGAATTTGCTTCAAAAAATAGGCGAAATTAAGAAAAAGATGGGTATCGAAAAAAGGAGGAAATGATGGAGAAAAGAGGACGGTAGGAATTGCTAGTACTGGACGCAGTTTAGAAGTGGTGGTCTAAGCGATTTCTGACCGAATATGGTTCAAGGTTAAATTTCAGGTAAAGAAAAGCGAAGAAATCTTGAAAAATCCGGATGACATTGTATTTATACCTACTGAATTGTTTAGCACTGTTCTGTCACATGAATTCAGCAAGATGGTGGAAAACAATGATGAGGTGAAGGATTTCAAAACTTCTAACATTTCTTCTTGTACGCACTAATTTGCCAGAAATAATTTTATGCCGAGGCTATGCTTAGAAATTATATGCTTCCTTTTTATTTGATTTTTTGTTATATTATTTTATTATTTTTTTGCTTTTTTGACGAATTTGATCAATACTTGTTGGTATTAACTGAGTTTTGCTTTCTTAACTGTCATTTATACTGGAAAACATTGTGATATTAATTAGGCTATTAAAAAGCAATGTGTTGGAAATCCATGTTTCACAGTATATTATTTGAATGCGAAGTAAGATTTACTTTAGGTTTTTAAGAATGTCGCGAATAGTACTCGAAATGCTGCGGTCATTAAATCATTGAGCTGTAAAAATGCAAATGAGGTTTGTTGACATTTGTGCGCCAAAGTTTTGCAGCAATTCTTGCTGTGTTGTGAAAATATTTTCTTCGTAACATTTAGTATGTCGGAAATTACGTGTCACATATTTGTCATTTACATGTGATTTGCATGCCCTCTCGTTTCTAAAAGCGACATCGCTTCAATTCCTGATTTGAATGGTATAAAATAATTAAATGACAGATGCATAGTCGTCTTTTACCTTTTATTCTCAATTTTTTTAAAGATGTGCGTGAAATAATTTTGCGTTATTTTAGAATCGATCTAAATTATCTTTCTCTTTGTGTGCGCATAATCGTGTATCACTTGGCAGTGTACGAAGTGGTGCAGTGAAGGCTGTAATGAAAAATGCAGCAAGCAATTTTTTGACATCTTACGGTGTCAAATTTGTTGATTTGAAGACAGGGTTTGTATTTTGATGAGGATCTTTTTTTTTTCAAAAAAACCAAAATCTTTTCGAACTGCTATCCGGAAATTGTTTAAGGTCGGACATTTGCTTGGAATGTGTAAAAGCACTAAAAGCGCGGAATGAATTTGTCAAAAAAGTTCAGTTAAAAGAAAGATTAGTAAAGCAGTTATTGCGAGAGAAATCGAAAAGGTATAATAATTTTTCTTTTAAATTTGTTCAATCCTCCTTTTTTACCAATCTTATGGTGATTAACGGATATATACATTATGTTTAGTTTTCTGGCAAAAAAAATTTCAAGTAAATGCACATTATATGTTATGGTGTTGTTGGATTACAACTGGTAAGGGATAAAATAAGATAGAATGGACAAGGCAACTAGCACAAAATGGACCACATATGCAAACATTCCTTTGAAAGTTCGCATGGTTCGCATGATTTTTTCAGAAAATAATTGTTAATAATAAACGAAGTTGTTCGGATATTTTTGCTATCTGTCGCTACTAGTTTGATTTTATTGCTAAATTGAAGAATTTTGCAGGTATTATCATTCTGAAAATTGTTTTTGGGTATCGGTACGTTGTTTATCGCAGTATCGACAACTGGCCTTACGTGCGCACGAACAGTCCATGAAATCATATGCAGAAGTCACAGAATTAAATTATTTGTGGCCATTTAAACGATTCGGGAAGGTGAGATATTTGTCACTGATTGAAACGCCTAAGGAATTTTGCACAACATTTCAAAACATTGCAGCAAGAATCAGTAAGAGACTGTGGTCCTTCAACATCCGAAGTTTCGCAAAGGCTTTCACTGGAAACTGGATCTGGAAAAACGGTTGATGAATTTGGTTTGCCAGATGTAAGAGAATTTTCCGATTATATTCAAGCTTTTATTTCTTGCCCTAATTTAGTACTCCCTTCTATAGGTAAATAAGGAAGTAATATGTGAATAGATCGGGAAGAGTATTAACATGAAGTTATTGCTTGACAGGTTTTTTCTCTTCAGGATTTTGGTCCCGTAACTTTCTCGAGTAATAGTGGTGATTCTTCAGAAATTGCAATTAATGGTAGCTGTAATGAGGTATTTTGTTTAAATCTGATAAAGGATTTCAGTGCTTTATAACTCTGACCGAATATTGGTTTTGTTGAGCTCTTATGGCTTTATCTATCGGTTTAGATATAGAAAATAAAATTTTTTCGGTCACGAGCAATGTTGATCACGCTTTGTAAAATAATCTGCCTTAATACTTTAAACAAATAATTTCTTCACGAACACAATTACCACCGCCTTATCGATTTTTTTTTCACAGAAGAATTCGTCAGCAGCTGGTGATGCATCAGCGCAAAGTGCTTTTGTGGATGGAAAACGAGGTAATCGGAAACGGACAGTCATATATTGTAAGGATGAGGTGAAGTAATTTTTTCTATCACATGAGCGATCTGCCGAGAATTTTTCATTTCAAATAATTGTATGACGTTGATTGCACACTATCAACTTTTTCTGCATAGTTGTCCTGTGATAAATGTTCACCGTTTGTTGCTATAATTCTAATTTCTTATTCTAAGAATAAGAGGAAATATGAAGGATTCACAAATAGATTACGGGGTTCATTTTATACATTGTCTTTTCCGTGAAGTGTGAAATTTTCTTCTATAATCCAATCAGTATTCCCCTAATATTAAAGACTTAAAGAAAAAGTTAAGGAAAAGCTGAATGTTGAATAAATTGTTTGCTTTGAATTCGTTAGCAGTTCTACAGCTAGTAATTGCATCTCATTCATTTCAGATTGATGATTCCATCGTGGAAAAATGTACTGATAGTGATCAGATTTCAGTAGTGGATGATTTGGAGTCCTGCAAAAAACAAAAACGTAAGTGACTAAATATTTAAATCACTGATCTTATCGTGAATACTCCATGTATTATATACATATGGTGTACTAAACGCTGCATTTGAATATTCTGACCACCTTGTACTTCTTTTTTTCATTTTTCAAGTCCTTAATTTTGCTCAATATGTAAACTGAAATAGTAATCATTCTCGTAGGTTCAGTGAGTTCAGTGCTAATATACGCGCCAAATTAGAGCTTCAAAAAAATGTGTTTACCAAATTAATTTTTATTAAAGCCAGGAAATCTGCGCAGTTAATGCTGAAGTTAATTTTTTTGCAGTGTTTGATTGCTATACTTATTCAGCAACTCGACAAACAAGGTCTTCATCTGAATCACCACCAGATATTACTGAAGTGCCAGATGTGATTTCCACTTGTGTCGGAAAAAGAGAATGTGACAAAGATAATGAAACAATAATTAAACGGTCGACTGATGCGAACAAGATTTGTAATGATGTATGTTCGTTAATATGTTTTTAAATTGATGAAGTGGTCATATTTTATTTTCTTTTGATTAGTGGAGGAAATTTCAAGCTTACCGAAAACGTGGCAGCAAGCACATAGGATTTTTATATTGCTAAAGAGAAGTGTGATCTACGAAGGCAGGAGAACTCAGGATAAACTAATGGAGATCAGTTCTATATACTCTATGTATTACAAACAAAAGGAGCATATCCTTTAACTTATTATTATTGGAAGAACGAGCATTCCTATTAATATTATATAATTATATTCTGTCAATGATGTCTAGCAAATCGTTAGTATTTCTATTTTCTAGGCATCCATTAAAAGGTGTTCCCTTCAATTTATCGGTTGCTTTTCCAGCGTTTCTTTTACGCAGTTTTAACGTTAACTGATTGGTGGTTAGCTAAGATTTCCCATAAGATATTCCTAGCAAATATCTTGTTTCAGAATTCAGTAACAGCTGATTTTGATGAGTGTGGTCCATCACAAGTGCATTTGAAGAAGGAAAAAAGCAAACAACAAAGTTTGGCTACCGATGATAACACGCAAGCATCGGAGAGCAATACTCGGCTTAATGATACACTTCACGAAGAATTGGATTGCTCCCAAAGTGATGATGATGATGAAGAAGAAAGAAGTTCGGTGGTTTTCAATGGAGACTTGCGCTGTGAACACGGTTTGTAGTCTTATCTGTTTATGATCTTATGTCAATAGATTATTAATGCCGTGTGCAGAAGTCAAAGACTGAAAGAAGAGTCTTGTTCTTAATATCCAAAAGATGAATACAATCATTCAGTGGAAGGATTATTATTAAAAAAGTTTTTTTCAAATCTATGATGGATTAATTTTCCCTTTGAATTTATGATCTGATATTTTTGATAATATATTAGAGAACGGGCTGAGATTGTTCTACAAATGAATATATATGGGGAACCGGGAAATTGTTTAAACACTTTCAAGAAAGATATACTATTCGTTTGCTGGCTTGAAAGGTCGTATTGTTTACTCATGAGCTTTATCAGGACTTTTGGATTATGAATGTTGGATGACAAACGAAAGGCGCATTGTTGTCGACGAAAATGAGTGGAAACAATTAACTGTTGAAATTTTTGGACCGGATCATTTATGGTGTGTTAGTGTCGATGAATTTCCTTGTTCCACATGTAAATCGGGTTATTTGGTGAGTGATTTTTTTATAGTAAATTCAATGCGGTGCTCTCTATAAACCTGCTATTTTGCATTTGACATTATATTTGGATTATTTTTTAGATCTTATAGAAAGAGAAATTGAAGTTCGGGAGCTATCGCTAGGATTAAAAGGATTGGTCAAATACTCTAAAGTATTTTGGGACAATTAAATTTCTGAACATTGAGTTTATAGTAAGCAGTGCATAAACCCACTGAAAAAATTACTGGAAGTTGAGGAAAATTTTCGAGGAACTTCTTTTGATTGAAATAATTTCAGAATATTCTGAAATTATTTCCTTTCCCATTTGCAATTAGTAAATCTTTTACTAAAGCTGAAGAGTGAATATAATTTGAAGAAAAACAAAAGATATTTCCTTTGTCTTTGTTTTCAGTACAAAAAAGATGATTGGGAGGAAACCTTACGGCGCATGAAGGAAATACGTTTGGCTATCGGTGAATTGATTCGCACAGCTGTGCGAAGGACAATAACCGTGAAACCATCGACCCCGCAAATTTACGAACGTGTTATTTGTCGAAATTTTTTGAAAAATATGATTGCACGGTTCAAGTAAGTATTCTAGCAGATTATTCTTTTGACGAAAAATTGAAACGGCCTGTTGGTCACAAGAAAGGCACAACATTGCATGGCTTGACGATTTTGGGGAATTAGAGTAAAGAACTTATTTAAATTTCTGTTTAAATAAAGGTAGTTTTCTCGATTTTTCACAGTTCTTAAAATTATTTACTAGTTTTTCAGAAGCCGTGTGCGAAATCCAACTATCCCAACGATTTGTCAAGATTGCATGCTTTGTTCACTGCACAAGAAACCATGTGTATTAATTGATAATACGGAGGGTTTGGTATGTTCTAACTAATTTCTTGAGATGCTTCAATAACGGAAGAATGAGAAGTAGGAATACTAGCAATGAGAGTAAGGTCTTTCCTTTCTTGTTCATGAAAATAATTGTCATTTAAATTCATTGATTTTCTTTTCTAAACGGACTGATCAATCGAATGATGGTTGATCAGCGCAGGTTTTATGTCGCTCAACACATGTGTTCTGTTGTATTAGTACCACTGTACTATACCAATTACGATTTAGTTATGTCGGAAATAAGAGGCTCATGTTTAGTATTATTAGTAAACTGTTCTATCGATTTTGAAATTCAGCTAAAGCGTTATTCTTTCAGCCTGTTCCACTTACTTTGGAAGAATGGCAAAAAATCCTATCAGCTATGCAAATTAGTGATGATGATGTTATGCTCATTTGCCTTGATAACAAAGGTTCTTTTTAACTGCTTTTTCAAATTAGATATAAAGGAAGTTTATAATGCAAAATAACACGTTATTGGCAATATCTCACTTCATTATGGTTGGAGCTATTAGAATAGTCTCGTCATTTATTGCACAATATCTCTTAGTGCTGACATATGTTGTTGGGTTGACAGGTTGCTTCAAAAAAGTCAGTTATTTAATGAAATACTAAGTAACATATAATTAAAGAATGGGATCAATAAAGATGTGAAACTAGTCGGGGAACTTAATAACCAAATAGGGAATTTTCACTTCATTACTGTTCATTATTTTTGCCTGTTCTGCTTTTATTGGTTAATAATATATTTGGTTCACTTAAACTTTTCATTCAAGAACTCTATTGCCATAAAATTAGTTTCAACTTAAAAAAAATTAATTTAACATTTGAGGAGTATGTGACATGTTTTGTGATGAGTGTTTTCGGCAACAACAGCTGCAAGTTGAACATCAACGTTTCGTTTATGAAAATGGTGCTGAAATTTATGTGAAACTTGTGAGTATTTTTCTATGCTTTTACGACTTGAAACTTCTCTATAAATTGGCAGTTAGCTTCGCTGTCCCATAACTAATAATTATTTAGTATCGGAGTTTTTTCTCTTATTAGATTTGAATGCTGTATTAGCTCTTTTTTTATTTCATTCTCTTATGTCTATCTCATATCTACATTTTTGAAAGGTATTCATGACAATTCCAAAAATATTTCATTTTATGGAAAATTTTTCTATAGAAAAGTGACAAGAATGATGAACCAATAAAAACAGCAAACGGTGACCTAATAGCACCATTCAGTGCTACCCCATCGCTGATTCGCCCGGAACGTCATGCGACGACAAGGCGTGCAGTGGCTAAGTGTTCAATGGTCTTCAAAGTAATTTACTGCTTATATGTGAAGCATATTGTGAAGCTTTTACTTTTTAAGCGATTTCATGTAGTCATCACAGCTACATAATTTTATCAAACTGATAATCCTGACATTTGCAATTTTACAATAGTTTGAATACAAAAAACAGTGTGCAAACCCTGCCCTGCTGTCATAGGTTGCCCTGTTTTCTTCGAAGTAATTCTGCGATCCTTCTACATTTTGAAGGACAAGATAGGAATATTTCTTTTAACATCATATTGAAGAATAAGTCAACGGCCTCATAATATTATTCGCTTTCAGATGACATCTCTGAACACCATTCATCAGTTAAAAATAAAAATTTATCAAAAAACGGGTCAATTACCAAACGATCAACTTATTTATATGAAGGAAAGACTTCTCAATGATTCGGTTTGATGATGTTTTGAAATTGAGAATTGAAATATTGGATTGACTAAACTTTAATACTTGGTTAACTGGATTCTTTACCGCATTCTTCTTATTCTTTCTATCGCTCACAATTTGCTATTTAATTTCTGTGATGTTGCGATGATCAAATATTGGAAACCTAAGTTACTTTATTCAAAATCTGGGATTCATCTTTATATACTATTTTCGTATAATTTGCAGGATACCTTAGAAGAAGCTAGAGTTGATCCACAAGAGCTTATTGAAACGCCGTTAACGTTGATTGTACAGCAACCCACCGACATCCCAACAGAGCCACGACAGTTGGAACGTGGTTTTGCAGACACTGCTTTGTCACATAGCTGATAATTATTAGTTAATAAGGTGAAATCAAACTAATTTATGAATCTGCAGCTGCGCTCTAATATTGTTTTATTTACGTAATTTCTTTAGAAAATTTTGCTTCATTTTATGCGATACTTCTAGCTGGTAACATTCCCTTTCTCTACAATCTTCACTTGGCAACCGAAATAAGCATGAAAATTTTTCCAACTTTTTAGTTTTGCAAATATTTCAACTTTCCATCTTTTTGCTTCTCCTATTACTCGTATTTAAGTTATGGATATTGATAGTTAGCTCATATGTTGAATGTTTAAGTTTTGTAAATAAGAAAATAAATGTATTTCTATGCAACTTTCGTTTATGTAATTGGGGCTTTTTATTGAGATCTTCCACCGTTTTTATTTTTTATGTGGCATGATAATATGCATCCCGTTTTAGGCATTGATTCACTCTACTATAGTTATATGGCATATTGCTGTAAATATTGCTGTAAAGTAGATGGATGTTTTTTTTTTTCCTTTTTTAGGATAACTTTACGTGTGAAACTTTGCACAGGATTTACATGCATGGCGACCTGCAGTAAGGGACGATTAATGTTGTGGAAATTATAAGAATGGTGATTGCTAAGTATTTTTTAGTAATAGCATTACTACATATCAAGCATGATTGTACATCAGAAACTCGAATAGATTTATGATGATATCAAGTCATTCCACTCAATTCATTAGGAACATCTAGCAAGCATATGTATTTCTTTATAAACTTTCTTGAAATAGCTGGAGTATATTCTTCGCGCTTGCAGAGTACTCGATGAAACTTTATTTAGGATGAATTTAACAGCAATTGTAAAATAAAGAATCTTTACAAGTTTTTTTTTCTTTCCTGAATATGTGATATTTGATATGCATGTGTGCATGCTTATACACTGTAGTGTAAATATTACATAACCTAAAGCATTAACTTTGTAAAACAAATTCATGATTATCAAATATACTTATTATACGCAAAAATTGTCATAGGTTTTATATAATTCAAATTTTACGTTTGAATTTTTGATAATTCCCAAGTTATGTTTGATATCTAGGAGGAACAAGTTTGTCGTCGCACTTTCATTAATCTGCAATAGTTTCACCTTTCATTTTCTAACTTTTATGATTGTGAAATAATGTTTTCAACTTTGCATCTATATTTATAAAGTCCTTCTTCAAGCCGGTATTGTTTAATTTAATTACTGATACTATTTAATATTATGTTCGCATTTGATTTGTATGGATAATTATCATTCAATGCTTCGATCTTTAACCGCCGAGCATTTGTAAATAATTATTTATAGCAGTAAATAAAATTATTTTTTGATGTGAAATATTTTTATAGTTAATTCTGTTGTATAAAATTATTTCATCTAATCCATCGTAACTTCCCGAAATCTAGAACTTTAGCAGGAGATCTTTTTTGCGAAGTATTAAGATATTAAAATATTAGAAAATTTAAATTATTATCCTTTTTATAGACGACAAAAAAAACCTTTTGGTGAGTTTTGGAACTGTTTTCGATCGATAATTTTCTTATTAGCAAATACATGAAGGAAATCTCTGTATTATTATCTTTCCAATAAATAAATTGTGAGGAATAAGATTTGCAGTAAGTTATTAATTGCACTGAACTTCCAGAAGTAAGTAAAGAGCTATGCATCGACAACGTCTCCACATAACGGTTATGCTGGTGAAGCGATTCAAATCAACAAAGGAAAACGAGGATGTTACGTATTACGTACCTCCCAAGACATTCCGCCCCGCATATTTTCATCCGATGAAACCATTCAAACGTAAATCAGCGGATCCATTTCCACCATTCCCAGTAGGTGATGATTTGGTTTTCAGCGAATCGTAGTGTATTCAACTTAGAGATGTAATCTATTTAACTTACTCTGCGGAGCTTCAGTCACAAAAAAACTAAGATGTAAACAGTTGATTGATTTAATTACTTTCTACTGTCAGGAATTGTTATTATTTATTATTACAGAACGAGGGAGATTCGAGTGGTATGGGACCGCGTTTATACGATTATCAAGTAATGAGCGAACTTGTACGTAGTTTACCCAGTGTTTCGGAACGGATTGATTTTGTTAATCCATATGAACGTGAATTTACTTTACGTGAGAAACGTTTCCATCGGTACGTAGTCCATTCATTGCTTTTGTTTCTTTGCCAGAATAAATATTGAGTTTAATAATTATTTAATATATTTTGAAAATGAACAGAAGATGTAAGAATCGTGAATTTGAATTTAGTAATGAGAACCTTTATTATTATTTTTCAAAATAAACATCATTTTACGCGAAAAAATGTTTCTATGGCGTTGTTTGGCATTTAGTTGTATTTCAGGCCATGGCAAGCGCAACTGTTGAAAACGCGAAAAGCATGGCGAATACAGTCGTTTCCAAACTATTTCGATCCATTAAATTTTTATCAGTATGTCACTAAAACAAGATGTATAGAAGGATTAAGCGAATGGTATGATGAATCTGCTCCAATACTTGCAGAAGGTTTCGAGGTAACTTCAATTTTTATTATCACTTTGTGTGTAATAAATGTTTCTTTTTTTATATGTCTGTTTTTTTCTATTTTTATTTCTTGAATTTTCAGAATCGTTTAAGTGAAATGTTAAAATTGCATTTGGAATCGTCGAATGTTGATAACGAGCAAAAAAGGACTACGAGAATTTTGAGAAGTTTATTGGATATGTTGATTGAAAGTGCAATTCAAAGTGGCATGTATACTTGTCTAGCGCATCAGAGGGTTTATTTTTGCTTTCGAAACTATAATTAATTCAAAAAAAAAATTAGGTAAATATAGTTAGAATACCGAAATTTCTAGAGTTTCAGTTTTGCTTTATAGTAAAGGTGAAGTTTAACAAAACAAACAATTCGTAGGTGAATATTGTCTGCTTTTTTTCTAAATTCAAATATTTATTCGAAGCACTTTAGAATCCGTTGCTATTTTATTTATTAAATAAGTTATGTCTAAACTAAAAGTTAAAAGAATTCGGCAAGTCATCATTTCAGATATCTCATACATCACGATGCGAATCATTCTGGATTCGTTGTGGATTTGATGCTCTTTACGAAAATGTGGATCAACATAGACATCGAGGCGATAACAGGTAGAAAAAATGCATTTTATTGTTATGTGTGATCAGATTTTTGGGACAAAAAGGTGAAAATAACTCATTTTAAAATTATAGATATTAAAATTGCAAAGTAGTGAAAATGTAATGTATTGTATAAAAAGTTGAAATTTCAAACGTTGAAAATTTGAAGAGCAAAGCTTGGTGAACTTGCTTTCGTCATGAGAGATGCATTTGCGGCGCAGTTACGAACAAAAAATCCATTGAAGCCTGTAAGTTTGAAATAATTTAAAAATTAATAACTTCTTTATACGCAGTCGACTGCAAAGAATATGGAAAGCTACCAAAGAATACGGAAAGCTTGTTTATTTGAACTTTATTTACTGAATAATTCGGAATTTGGATACATCAGTATTCTCAGCATCTGTACTACTTCGCTAGATTTACTAGTTCACTAGTTTTGGTATTATTGCATCTTTCAGTTAATGTCATTTTGGGATAAAGAAGTTACAAAGCCATTATTCGATCCTGCATTTAATGTTAAAGATGAATTGATATATTCACCCGCTATGTTTGGAATGATGGCTGATGCAGATCCACTATGGCAGTGTCCGGGATATGAACCTGATTGTGGCAAGTTTTTAGAATTTTAATCCATTTTATTTTAATCCCTATAACTTTTTAATTTTTTCATATTAGTAATCATTGTAAAAGAGAGTTTTTAACGGCACGAATGTATAAAAATTTCATTATTCATAAACTTTTGTAATGTTTTTGCTCACTTTCGAGCGTTTACTCATTTCGACGTCAGAAATTTTTCTCAAAAACTATGACAATAGTTTATACTTAATTTTGAACTTTCGAAAATCTCAATATTCAAGTAAACTTTCTAGGTGAAGAATACAAATATGGTCACATAGGATTTAAGCAATTCAATGATTTGGATATTCATTGTAAAAGATGGAAAGTGAAGGGTGAGGAAGAGAAAATAATTCGCAATGAATGTCTTCGAGCTTCTGCTGTTGTATCACTCTTCTCTTGGCTGAATTCTCAGGCTCATGCGTTGGGTATGCTTTTATTCTCTGTGGCTTCGTTCCTCTGAAGTTTGAAAGTTGCTTGTTGTTCAGTTAAATGATGATTTAGTAGCGTTATTAACTACTCTTTATATGAATTTGATGTAATATATGAGTTATGAAAGCTTTACGAAAGACATTAGAAATTTCATTGAAAGCGAAGCTGTTATTCAGTGGGGCCGTGTCACTGAAGAAGATATCTTAAGTTTTCCAAAATAGTGATTCAAGTACAGCAATTTCGGAGAATGATTTTTTTTTTTCAGGTTTCACGCAATACAATGATATCGAATATCCGCTTGTATCGCAGTTGGTAATGTCCGATGGGAAGCAGTTTTTCTTTGCTATAGCTCAACTAAACACCTTACTTATTAATGTTGACATTGAGGTGCATTTCTGAACATTTTTTATTTACGTAAAGGTGCTGACCACTTCAGCTTAATAAAATACCTCTTTATAAGGAAAGATAGATGGAATTATACCTTTGCCTAAATCAGCTTTTTTTGATTTGTCTGTTTTTATTTAATTTATTATACGAAAGCTTTTCTTCTTTTTTTAGGGAATAATAAATAAACGTTCGAATTTATGCTACGTGGAAGGACCTCTAAATCTCTATGATCGATATGATAGCGATAAGGGTATATTTGAATTTGGTGAGATTTGTACCGATAGAGAAGTAAGCAATTTTAACCCACATGTGCTTGGTCGTTTGATGCAAATGCTTGTGAGGGATATGCCGGTAAAGACAGAGATAATAGGCGACTCGGTAGAGATATCAAAGTATATTCCTGTAATGTTTAATGGTATTCCATAATCTGTTGTTAGTTTGATAAAACTATCAATCAAATAAAGTGTCGAAGTTTTTCACAAAGAAATGTTAAAGAATTTTGAACTAGAACAGTTTCTTACTGCTATGATTATCCCCGATATCAATGCCGAAGTGTTTTGAATCATAAAAGTCCATAAACATATCTATTCTTCTATGGAAAGATACTTGCTTTTTCTATATAATTATATCTCAAATGACCGTAAACATTAACGGTTGCTGTTAAGTAGAATTATTAATTTATTAAAAGAAAAATGCCACAAAGTAATTTTGGTCTACTATTTGCGTATATAGTGGATAATAAACTTTTAAGAATTAACATTTACAGCTTGATTTACTTGTAAACCAAGCTATGTAAGATATTTACTTACACGCATATCAGGAAGTATAATATTCCAATGGTTTTTTCTACTTACTGAAATAATCCAGTCCTGGCCTTCGCTCACGTAATCATATAGTATCTCCAGAGCGAATTCGGTATTTGCCACATTCTTCCTTACAACTTTCCCGATGTTTAACATGCCAAAATAGCTTCAAAGTAAAATCAAAATTGTAGTTTTATTTTAATTTCTTCTACTGATTTTGACTCCCCACAACTAATTTTAGACAACTCATGACGCTGAGATTATGACGATGACGAAGCATCACCTTATTTTCATAAGAGTGATTGCAGTTATATCTTTTAGCGAATGGATATGATTATCGCATTGCGTTAGCCTTATACGTCGTAGTTTAAGAACGTAAAAAATTTGGCGAGTGCTCGTTCGTTATCAGATGTTATCAATGATAGTATGCCAAATGTAGGAGGTAAAATCATGTTGATAAATCCGAAAAAAAAAGATTTGAATCCTCCCTCAACTCACCACCGCCTATTTTTCTGGAGAATAGAATAATTTCAAACACGATGCGGACATTTGTTTGAGTGTTTTGTTTGAAAGAGACAACGAGTTTAACTAAGCGGGTTAAGAATCATTACAAAACATCGAAAATCTCAAAAATCATCCCCAATGCATGATGAGATTACAATTCAATTATCTGTATTAGAACATACGTCTTATTTCTTCGTCTGACTGTCATCCTTATCTTCCTTCTGAAAATACTGAAATACAATTCTACATTCTATCATTTATCACTTATTGAAAGGTTGTGTAAAAATATTAAATACAATTTACCTTTTCTCTGGCTGCAGCAGCACTGCTGACCGCATCACGAACTTCCTGCGAATTCGGATCAACGCCAGGTAGATCTGCCAGAAGCTGACGAAGTAATTCAGGATCACTTATTAGCTGACCAAGTTGATCATCCTCAGTCTACAAAAATGGAAAAACTTAATTGGGCTAAATTAATGCATTACTGACTGGACAGACCTTTGACTTAAGACATAAAGTAATGCCTTATCGAATTAATAGATGATAGTTGGCCCAGGAAAATCATGCTTTGATAATTAATGTAGAGAATATTAAGCAGCATCAAAATTCAAAGATGAAAAAAGAATATACCAATACAATATCAAAGCACTGTGATTTAACTATAAAAACTTAAATGACACCGCTCGTCAACTGGATTTATCGGAAAGATGAAACCATTTTAACATGACTGTACTATATAACCTTATACAACTTCCACGGATTCAGGATTTAGAGTCTATTGTATATATAATAGACTATTATAATTTTGTTCAATTACCCTGGTAACTTCTGTGAGGCCTTTATTCCAACTTGGAATCTAACTTCATGCGAATTACAGCGTAAAATTGGGTCTTAGAATTTTCCACTTTTTTCCACAGTTAATTTTTATATTAACGGTACATGCAAAACTGTGCATATAATGTGGCGCTTTAAAATATAAAGAAATATCCAGAAAAAAAAAGAAAAAACTACAATCATAGCTTCCCGTGTAGCAGCTGAATCATCGACTTCCATGGCTTCGGCAGTTTGATCTCCTTTCGGAGTCGTAGCAATTTCCATGGAAGACATTTCAGTTGTTGCTAATTGATCCGATATGGCCGTATTTGGTGAAGAAGTCTGTAGTGTAGCGGAACTAGTAGCACCTGCACCTTCTTGCATTGACATACGTAACGCCCATTCCAACTGCTGCTCTTCGGTCATTGCTCCAGGATCCATCGTCATAATATCATCTTGAAATACAAAACGAAATTCGTAAACTAATCTGCACCAGAATTTGCTAAAACCGTTTCCTATTTTTCAGAATTTAAAACAGATGATAGTTGTGCAACATATTACTTTTGGGCGTTAAGCTAGAATTGCTTACTTCCAGCAGCATTTGTTGGCTGCGGTTCAACATCATCCGTTCCACCACCTCTTTGCCGTTGTCGTTGTTCTTCCAATGAGACACGAAGCGCCTTAAAGTATGAATCTTGCCGAATGTCCGTAGAATCAGAAAGCTTCCTCTGCTTCTTTACATGCTTTTAAGAAAGATTTTGATAGCAGAAAATTATGCTATCAAAACTAATCTGACAGTCTAACTTCAAACATTCACGAAATGATGCAAAACTATAACCAATGCTAAGTCGGGATCATCTTCAGGATCAATTCCAAATTCGAATCCACCTCCACCCGCAGCTACTACTGGTGCAGCGGTACCATCTTCCCCGCGACATATTGGAGAAGATACCAATGCTTCCGTAAGCGATGAACTAGCCGGCACAACTACCAAGTTCGAACCACTTCCCTCTCTAAATAAGACGAATCGAAAGAAAACGGCAAATACAATGAAGAAAGGTCATAATTCTTGGCCTGACAATTGAAAGACAATAAACTACATTCATTTGAGAGTTATAGAAGTTAGTCTAACTACCAGTGACTCGTGTATTAAAACTCAACCACTCAATAGACCAAACAGTGTTTGTCAGCTTGCTTCTATTGACATATCCTTTAGAACTAGATGTAACTATTTAGGTTTAACGAAATTTCTTCACTCACTTTCCATTTAGCGTTTCGATAAATTGTCCCATAATTTCACTATCGGTTGAATCTGCTTCACCAAAGCATATAACATCTACTTGGACTTTCTCTTTCTTTAATTTCTTTGCAAGCTTTGTAAGCTGAAATATATGATTATATTTAAGACAAAACTGTGCTGTGTTTGCTAAACTTAAATCATGTTGAAAAGTGAAATGATTGATTAGGTAAATTAGAAGCAACACGGAACGACAGATAAAATTTTCAAAAAAAGAACTGAGATTGAAAATATGCAGAAAAGAATAATAAATAAACCTCAGAAGAATTCAGATGATCAATTGGACTACCAACAAAGACGACAATTCGCATTCTGTGGTTTCTATTTTGACGATGCTTTAGTGCTAAATGTGCCACTTTGATTGCATTGATAAAATTTGATGCACCCTGCAAAATAAAAAGTTTTGCTATAGCATTTGTTTTTATGATTTCTGAAAGTAAACGTCATTATATCATTAAAGGACATAAATAAACTGAGAATTCGTCTATTTTCTGTGTAGGCAGTGCCCACTAGATGTATACATAATAATCAAAACTAATTCATGATGGCGAAATGCACGTCAGTTTCCCTGCATTCTTCTACAAGTACTTAAACATTTTGCACCTTATGTCAACTGGTTTTTATTTAAGGAAAGACAACAGAAAATAACTGTATCGATTTTTTATATATTATTGAAATAGTTTAATGGAGTATGAAAGCTTTCAAGAAACCGATATCAAGGTATATTTGTAATCGGAGATATGTTGCACCGATGCTATGTGGTACTTATACGATCAATATCGCAACAATATAATCTCTTACTTTTGGTTCCACTTGATGAAGTTTCATAAACAGCTTCCCATTTTCTTGTGTCAAGGTTGTCAGCACTTCCACGGTACTGCAATTATGTATCTCTCACCTTTATTTTCCAAAAGACTGATACTGATGTACTAGTCGGAAATACAGTATTAGAGACTATTCACTTCTAACTTATTTAGCATCTTTTGATTTAATCTTCTAACTTATTTAGCATTTCAGTCAATAACTTAAGCGAGATATTCACTATAGCGACAATGTACAAAAAGAATGGTAAAATCCGAGAGGCCAAGTCAAATTCTTTACTTATAGATCACACTTATTTTATACAACATAAGTTAGCTACTATTACAACTTGTGGCATTTAAGAGAGCGAAATTTTACTTCTTAACGATATCTTACTACTTCTTAATTGACGATACTTCTGATAACGAGGGTTTACGTTTCAACTGCAGTTAACTCTCATAGCAAGATTCCATTCCATACTAAGACTATTTTAAAACCTAGGATAAATCTAACAAGTGCTAAAGACATACTCGGCCATAGCAATCAATCCAACGGCGTTTTCCGGATTTGCACGAAGCTTACATTGTAACACCAAATTCGCGGCATCTTGCTGACATTGCAAACGAGTTGGTGCAAAATCACCATTTCGCATCCATTCTGAATTATCAACACTGAAAACATCACATGTCATACACTTAAAATTTGATGTAACGTCTTACATGTATAAATATACAATATTTACTTCTTACTACATAGAGTAAAAGCTAAGACAACATCAACATACAAAAATTATGATATCTTCTATACCACAAAAAAACCAGACAATGCGTACCTCTATAAACTGTCATTTTCAACAAATCACAAGGCACAAAAAGATCTACTCGCGTATAAAGGTCAAGAAAATAAATAATGCAACGAAAAACCTTTAACCTACCAAATCATTGTACTTTCCTGAACCATTGTATCGTTCGCTTAAGATATGCTTGATCAGTTAACTAAAATGATTAGCAGGAATTTTTGAGATAAACGTAAAGTTACCCGATTTGATCATCAATTTTTTCTAAATGAGATCCATCCTTTTCTATGGATCTCATTTAGAAATTTAAGCTATTTTCATAAGTATTTTTACTTATTCTGATAGTTTAAAATCCTCGAACTTCCTCGAGTGGTCTAGACTTTTTGGAAGTTCTTGGAAAATGGCCAAAGTATTTTGCTCGATAATTAAATATCTATCGATTCTTTTGAAACATACAAAATATGTAAGGGAATTGATTGCTGATGAAAGTTAGTGACAAAATAATCAGAAAATTTCACGCACACATAAAGGGGGATTTCGCTAACTGAAAGTATATGTTACACGTTACACATTTAATCATCTGCACGCATATATATGAAGTCATAGCTTACGTTTATCCTTACACAAGATAACAACCTACTTGTGATTATTTTACGGAATGTGCAATCAATGCATATTAGCAATCTATACATAAGTTAATAATTCTTGCATGATTTCACATTCACTGATGATTCACACAAATTGCGAAACCTAATATACTAATTAATGGCCGATGTATTCATATGCAAAACATATCAAAAAAAATCATACATATCAACAATTCACGTGCGTCAAAAATTTACGTAGGCGTGTACTTCAATCGAAACGTGAACGTTAACTGAAATTTTGTTCGTACGATATCGGAAAAAGATATCACTACGATGATACCGTAACCGATCAGTTAGCTGCTGGACAACGTTTCATAGTGGGTATCACCAATGGCTGCGCAAGCCATTACACAGCGGAACGATACACATTTGGTCGTGAGGGATTTTGAGTTAGCTCGTGCTCTGCCTTTTCTCGGATTGATCAATGAGTTCGCTTATTGGAGTTCGCGTTATGTCGACTGGAGCGGTTGAATGAGATTTTTGGAAACTATCGGATTACCATTCCTGTTATAGATATTTCATATGATCATGAATGATATCGTGTGCTCATAACTTATACGAGAATTTTCCTTTCAATTATTTTATCATTTAGTTGCTTTATCTGTCATTAGGGGTGTGAAACGAAACTAGACATAACTAGTTATGCGGGATATGGTGAAACTTAGAAAGTTGTTAGGTCCAATATACTGTGTTTATTATTCGAGGTAGGAAACAGAGCAAACCTAGTTCCGGAAACTTTATGCAGGATATATCATACCATCGTTACCATTATGTAATAAACAGAAAGAATTTGCGTTGAAACTTTAATCTAATGGAGGATTAATGGCGCGTAAACTGGAACAATCCGTATGAAATGTTAGTAATAGTGTTTCGAAATTGAACTGGATTAACACTGCATGTTTCGACGTTACAGTGGAAGTGCTAATTACAGTATTGCAGTGTTTCGGGCAGCAAAGTATATGTTCTGCTGCAGCGCCAGCAGCACAATAATTCTGGACTTGTTGACGTGCGCGGAGAATCGACGCTTCAGGATATCGTTATGGGTTAATTTCAATCAACTTTCGTTTTTAATTACTAGTTTTTACTTTATTATGCTGCATTTCTTATGTCTGCAATAGTCCCTGTAAATAGAATTCAGAATCCTTTAAGTATTTTTTGGTTGTTAATTAGAAGCTTAGAGTATTACGATACTTTAATGCTTACTATGTCACGTGAACATGTTATTCTTTTGCTTTATTTGTCAATGCGAGGTATGAAGCAAATTTAATAATGCAAGAAAATGTATGTACAAATGAGATGTTTACTGTTAAAACATTCTATCATATATATTTTTCAGTTCTATCTTTTATTTTAGATAATTTAACATCTTGAAGCTATAATTTGTCTACATTTGATAATATCATCCGGAAATGCTTTAAACAAATATTTCATCTTACTGTTCTTCGATATTGTGATAAATTTTAAAAGTCAAAGTTTTAGAAAAAAAGTATGAATTCTTAAGATAAAAGAAACAATTTCAAATGTAATTCGAAAAAAATGGCTTTTCTTCAGTAGATGTTCCGCGAAATTTTCGTTTACTAGAAGAGCTTGAAGATGGACAGAAAGGCAAAGGTGATGGCAATATATCATGGGGGCTTGAAGATGACGATGATATGACTTTGACACGTTGGACAGGAATGATTATTGGTCCTCCGAGAGTTAGTTTTTCGTTTCGTTTCAGATTTACGTTTACAAAAACTAAGATTTTAACAAGATTCATTGTTTTTTGTTGCAAATGCCTATAATTACTTCAAACGATAAAATGGTTAAAGGAATCTTAAAAATTCAGCATATGAAGGTTATATCGGTCATTGAACACTTTAATCGAAGATTAGAGTCGGTGAGACCATAGTTTGGAATTTGCGTAAGAGCAACGATTAGTAGTCTACTGACAACGTCCAGTCGTCATACCATTTCATTTGAAGTCTATCCATTGGTTAAATTATCGACGTTGCTGTAATTTAGACTCCATTTGAATCCAGAATATATAATTTACGCATAGAATGTGGTCAAAACTATCCAAAAGAAGCACCATCTGTACGGTTTACAACGAAAATCAACCTGAATGGCGTGAATCAAGTTAATGGCATGGTAGTTAGTTAACTTAATTTTTTGTTGAGTTCTTATTGAATTTTGTATAGTTATCAGACAAAACATGAAGCTGGGAAGAAATAAAAGATCCGAAATTTCTAAAATAATTTTAAAATTGTTCCTCGAATTTTGTAATAAGGTGATATTCCTTTTATCTGCCTTTCTAAAAATCGCATTTATTCTGGAGTTACTTGCTGACATATTCTTCCTAATGTGCAACAATATTCTTTTTTGTCTGAAGAAGCATCAACAGAAATAACTTCAAAAAAGTTACGGCTTACTATTCAGATTTAAAAATACTTAATCACAGGTGGATAGGCGATGTGTACCCGTTCTTCGTCAGTGGAATAGCACATTTTATATCAAAACGATTCTTGAAGATATACGGAAGACAATGATGACTGCGAAAGAGAATATGAAGTTACCGCAACCCCCAGAGGGTGCCACATATTAGGATTTCTTTTTTTTCATACATTCTAAGATTTCCAAACTCAGCAGTGCATCTTCGTTTATTGTTAAAATTTTATAGTGAATTTAATTCCATCACATGATCAATTCTCAATTTTTTTCGCTTGGAAAGAGGTAAAATTCAACTAATATTTACAATGTATTGGAATATCGAAACTAATATTAACATCGAAGATTTTTTGATCTGTATATTATTGTTTTTGATTTTACTACATCTTCAATATACTTCTAATACTTTCATACAGTTTTGAATATTCCAGTCAATCTTGACATGGAGTTCTTGTTTTGCTTGCCGTAGGTTGGACCTACCGCACGTAGCCTCTCCGCTGTTTTCTCTTTGAAAAAAAGTTTCACATATTTTTTCAGGTGTTGTCATCCACGGTTCACGGTTTATAACGCAGATCAGTGCGTAGGTGAAGCGTACATGTATGTTTGTATGTATGCGTGTGTATGTGTGTGTGCGTGTGCGTTTTAGCATTTGTTATTTTGATGATCGAAATTAGATATGAATTTGTGTATTTGTTATCTTTATCAAGTTCCCGGAGTGCTACTATCTTTTGCTTTTTTCTTTCACCTTTATCACGTTAAATTATTTTAAGAGAACACTGTTGTATGTCATGTTTTTTGTAGGATGTTATGGAATTTCATGAACAGTAAATTCGAATGGCGTATTTTACAATGCTTCTGATGTTCGCCATTTATAATGACAAAGTTGCACTGAAGATTGTTTTTTTTTGTATGTGGTAGAAAAGCAATCCGTTATCGGAACAAGCAGATGTGTTACAACAACGTACTTATTAAATCTCCGAGTTTTTCCCGAATCCTCGGAAAATTTAATTTCGATGTTTGATGAGGAAAACATAAAGGCAGAGATGCATTCATAGCAAATATTGGTCCGGAGTTTTCACGAGTAACCTGTGACTTAGCTTGTTTGTTCGTATTTCTGTTGGAAAAAATTATGAGATCAAATAAATGATCATCGCTTGTAGGATTGCACCATTTGGCTTATTGCTTTGCTACAAATAAAATATTTGTTTGTCATGGAATGTTTTTTTCGCTTCAATTCCAGTTTTAATTTTATTTGTAAGTTTTATTTCAATTATCATTAAAATAAAGATAGCTTTGAACGAGTATTTCGTGCCCTTGATTTTTCTTAGTAAGGTCGTTACAATCGACATATTTAGCGATTTTGTAAATATGTATATACATATATTTGTTTCCATACCTTTGATAATTCTATTCTTTTCTGACTTTCCTTGCATAGCATCAACGCTACATCCATTTTGAATGAAAAAAAGGATTTTGAATACATTTGTCAGGTGCTGTCTTCTTTTCACGGATCGATCATTTAGTGACAGTTGTGTTGTGCTTTTTTTCGTATATGATTACAACACAACTGATAGTGCATGCGAGAGCTGCTTTCTGTAATGTCACAGATAGGAGTGTAGTGTTATGTCTTGGGGTCATTTTGGGAATAAGATGTTTTTAAGCGCAATACCAGTTTCATGCTAAGCTGTCATTCTTCGACGTTTTTTGATAAAAAGAAAGCTAATCTGCAATAATGGTTTTCATTTCACATTTCAACCGATTTGCACTAGGAAGTTCTTCAGTGCTGGAAGCTATGATAGACCATTTGATGTTATAGCTACAATATCCAGAGTTGACAACATTTTTTTTATGATCTGAATTAGAGACGAGAAGGTTAGGGAAATTAAGCAGAGCGCGAAAAGTTTGCGAATCGTTATTTTTTAATTATAGGTAAGTTTGCACTATAACTCATCAATTTACAGGCATTCTATTGTATATAAGAGTTCGCGATGAGATTATGACGAAATGTCAAGATTTGATGTCGTGACACATAATGGTATGTATGGTATTTGCATAATTCTATAGTACGGTACTTAGAAGTTTTGTCTGCATAGTAATTAAAACATGCACAAAATCTTGAGGCTTTTCGTATTAATGTGTCAAGTGCTCACATTAGTGTGACATTGCACAACAGAATGTGAGAGGAGTTTCAGGCGTACATAGTAGTTTTAATAATAGCATAGCTTGAAATGTATTTTCAAAGTTATTTTCAGTTGTTCAAATTATAATACTTGATCATAAAATTTGCGGAATTATAAAAAGAAAGTTTGAAAAGTTAATTGTACAACGGGGCTTAACTTTTCCAGGATCAATGATTATTGTAAAATGTTTATAAAATTTTTTAAAAGTTTTGATAAAATCTCAGAACTGCTCGTGGCAATTCAGCGATATCTCTCTGAGGGTCCCTGTCAGGAAGCAGCCAAAACGCTGAGGGATGAAATAGAAAAAAATCAGGTTATTAAAAAGTTGTTTTTGTTAGTTTTTAAAATACTTGACATCCTCTAAATTTGTCGGTCAGGATGTCTAAATTTGTCAAATTTGCCAGAACTATCTGAGTTTGTCAAAACTTGTCAGTCAGAATGCTTGAAGTTCTTAGCTTTTATTATAGTAGGAATCTCTAAAGCAAAATATCAAGCTGTTCAAATATGCAAGTCGAAATTTTCATCAACCGAAATTCTGTCAAAAAGTTTCCTTGCCATAGACTTTCCTTCTGTCAGCTTGTACTCGATCATTAGAATATATTTCTCCAACATCAAGACCAAATAAGTAGCTATTGCTTGCTGGTGATTGTTTCCAAATCGGACAGCTTAATCTATCGAATTGAATGTAAAGAGTTTGCAAAGTTTGCAATAGGGCAAATGCTTACAGGAAAAGACTTAAAAATCTAAGGTGAGAAAGGGAAGGTACGGATTCCAAGGCGACTTTCTGAAGCATGTACCGTTTTTTCCCCCCTTTCACCACTCTCCTGTCTCTTTTAAGAATAATGCGCTAGAAATCGGAGCACAAGATTTTTACATAATTTCTTCTTTCTTCAGAGTATTTTGTTATATTTACTTTATTTGCTTGATGTTAGCTACTTTTCAGCTACTGCCTGTAAGATATGATTATAAGGGGCAAGCTCACCAACGTTCTTTCGAGGATTTTGTAGGTTTATGCAATTTTTGTTTTTTCATTTAATTTAGGATAATTTGAACGATTCAATAACGACAAGCACAAGATAGAGTATTACGTACCATGAAAATTGGCTTAAATTGTATAAAAAGATGTAGTTTAAATTATAATTTTTTCTTCAGATTTTATAATTTCCAGTAATTGCTTTCTCAGAATTAACCATTTTTTCTCAAGGAAAGATCTGTTACGCCGTTAAATGTTTCACTGGTTTCCTTAATCGAACGCCTTGGTTCTTTAATTACGATCGCAGTTCCAATTCCTTTACGAAATCTACCTCTAAGAATATATATGAATAAACCATATGCTTTGGACCGAAAACCAGGTTCTTTTTTGTGCTTGTTTCTGTCATATTGCTATCGCAAACTTAGTAATTCTATTGATCGATGCTGAGAATCAGTTTCTATCATGCTTCAGGGGATTTAATAAAGAAGCCAACATTACGGGTTGCCTTAGGACGTTCTAATATCAGTGTTCTAAAAAAACTAAATCCAATACGATCACGGATTGCACGTGAACTGGGCAGGCCAATAACACCGAAATATCTCTTGCATAAGGTATGTAATAATTTAATCGCTGACAATTTGTTTGGAATTTCCTTAAAAAATTCCCAATCTGTTAATTTATATTGTTAAATATTTTTATCTGAGAATCTGTAATTTTTTTTAAATGTGTATATAGATAAAGATCATGTGATTTGATAATATAGAACGCAAAGTAGTCTTGAATATTAATACGTAGTTTTAATTAATATATATATATAATATATATTAATATATAATATATATTAATAGCTACTATGAGAATTTATTGAAGTTCTAGCTAATGCAGTTTGCATGCATTTTGCAATAAAAGAAAAAATTTCAGAGTTCAATGAATAATTTCGAGTTGCACTATCGCATTCTTGGCCATCTTTCATCGGTTTTTTGCGTTGCGTTCGATAAATCTGGCTCTTATGTTATTACGGTAATATTTTTCATATTTAGCATTCTTTTTTTTCAATTTGTTCGTGTGTATCAGACTGAAATTAAATTATTTTACAACTTCGATTTTCAAGTTCGTTATTCCATAGCATTTTCCTATAAATTTTCCCGGGATGGGAAATATATTCATTAAGCCTCAAACATGTTAGAAAAATATCATCTGCAATTGGTATAATAAGATATATGGATCAAAATCTTTTTGTTATCTTAACCTAATATTGTTAAAGGGATATTTCTTGGCTTATAAGGATTTAACAAGATAAGCATGAATTACGCTATTATTGAATATTTTGGTGTGATTACCCAATTGATCGATTACTGTCACGAATAGAATTTGTTTTCGGGCTGCATTGTTTTTCCCTTTTTTAGGGTGCTGATGACAATCTTGTTAAAGTGTGGAATGTACGAACGGGTTTGTTACGTTTTACGTTGCGAGGACATTCAGCAGAAATTTCAGATATGTCTGTCTCAGAGGATAATACGCTGTTAGGTACTGGTTCCGTGGACAAAACAATTAGGTAATTTGGAGTTTTTGTAATTATCTCCTGTTACATCATTAAATAATCTTTAAAAATGATATGAGCAGTGATGTGGTAAAGACGGTGTTGTTATCGTATTAAATTTAGTAAATATAATAGTATCGATCGTTATAGTAACAGTAATAATAATGACAGTGGCAATAATAACACTTGTAGCAGTGTTAGATGCTTCTTAACAAGTCTATACTAGATAAACCATTTAATATCAACCCAAAAAGATTTTTCTTATCCATAACCATTTTCTCCTATTATGTATTTCACTGTAGTCAATCCTACAACCATCTATGTTTTTCAAGTTATACCACCTCATCATACGTTGCGTCATCGTCATTTCTTTGACTCCTGAGAATCAGTAGATGAGAATCCATTACAATAGAGGTTGAAAATTATAAAAAATTCCTTTCCTCAAGTAGTATGAGAGATCATTA